GGTTTCCCTGTTTTTTCTGTCTTCCCGTCATTGTCTTTGGTGTTGTTACTGTCCCTGTACTGTGTGCAATTAAGTATTTTCTAGCTTGTAATAATAACTATGGTAATATTTAGAATGGAAGGGTGAGGTGAGATGGAAAGGAAGAAGTTAAAGAAATGGGAAAAACAAATACACAGACTGGAGGGAGAAAACAGAAGAAGGTGTCAGACAAGAAGATTTCAAAGGTGTAAACAGGGAGCTTTAGTGTACTAATCGACAGTAAGCTGAACAGACATTAGAGAGACAGAGAGAGGATTGAAAATCAAAAATAAAAAAAATAAAGGTAAGAATAAAAATAAAAAATAAGTAAATGAAAGAAAAATCTTTTTATAAAAATGTATTAAAATAAAATGAAAAAATAGAAAATTTTAAAAAACCAAAAAACCTCCAAGTTCAAATGCAGTGAAGTCTCAATCTCCAATCCTGGAGATGGTTCCTCAGATATTCTGTAGTTGTCTCATCAAAGGGGATGCATAAAGAAGAACAAAACTACACACACACACGCACAAAAAAAACCCCACCAAGTGTCCCAAGTTGAAATGCAATACAGTTTCAGTAAGTTTTTCAGCTTGCAGGTGTAATTCAGTTGTTCTCTCATCAAAGGTAGGGAGACAAAGAAAAAAGAAAAAAAAAAAGAGTCTGGAGACAGTTCTGAGAATGGTATCTGCGGCTGTGGCTTGCCTGCCCGCTGCTGTCAGCCTGCTGTTGCTGGAGGCGTTATTTATGCAGATCTCTGGGGTGAGCTTAGCACTCACCTGGCCCCGCAGGCTTTGTTTGTTCAGAGTTCTCCTGTGCAGGAGCCTCTGCTACAGGCTTTCCCCTTTCCAAGCACTGGGAAAGGTGACACTGCACCCGCGTTCTCAGGCCTGTGTGTTTATTTACAGTTCATGTGGGAGGTGAGTCTTCCCCTCTCTCCTGTGGAGTTTTCCTCCCACTTCCTCTTTCACAAGCTTTCCTGCTCCTGATTATTGGGCGGTGCTGCTGCTCCTGCTGGCCACCATGTTTGTTTACAGTTCACGTGGGAAGTGGGTCTTCCCTCCTCTCACAAGCTTTCCCTCTCCTGGTTGCTGGGCGCGCCCCGGCTCCCGCCACAGCCTCTCCGGCCTGCCCAGCTTGTTTATTTACAGTCCCGGGAAGGATTCCCTTCCCCCAATCTTCAGCACTCAGGGCACCCCACCCTCTTTCCTGCGTGTCTTAACTGTTCTTATTGCTTATTACTCAGTTTCTCTTTTTTTTTCCCCGGGTGGAGGTCAGTCTGTCCAGGGGGCTATGCTGCTCTGGACCAGGCTTGTCTGTGGGAGTACTGCAGTACTGTGAAGCTCACCTGGTCCACGTCTTCCCAAGCCGTCTGGGCGCCGGCGACTGGCGGCCTGGGGGCCCTCCTTGTTTCTCCGTTTAACGTGAAGTGGAGATTCTCTGCGCCAACAGGAGATGTGGAGGGGTCAAAGTTATGCCTTTTCTCAGTGATTATGCCTGCAAAGTGTGTCTCCAGCATCTCTCCAAGATTTCACTATAGGAGGCTCGCTTTCTGCTTCCTCCCTCTAGCCACCATCTTGGAAATCCCTAACCAATCTTTCTGAAGGTTATGAGAAAAGTAATCTATAAACAAGAACTCTTAAAATTAGAAAAAAATAAACTATGTTCCGTAGTTTAGCATAGTAATAAGTATTGCTTATTTACAATATTTTTATTACAATATTTATTTATTACAATAAATGTAGGTTAAACTTAATTGTCTTAGGGTTTGGGAGTGTAGTTCAGTGATGGAGCATCCGCTTAGCATGCTCAAAGCCCAGGGTTCGATTCCCAATGCCACAGAAAAGATTAACTGAATCAGGGAAATAATAGTATTTTGGGTGAGTTCATGATGGTATTTTCAGATGCTTTCAGTGAAATAATAGAAATTCTAATTCAAAGTGGTTTAAACACAGAAGCGGGAGTTATTGTTATGAAACGGAAAGGCCCAGAGTTCATTCAGGCTTCAGGCACTCTGACCCCATGTCTTTGTAGTCCTTGGGTTGGCTTCTCAAGGTCAGTGCCATCATAGTCAAAGCGGATGCTTCCTCATTCACATGAAGGGGGAAGAGAAAGTTAGTCCCTCAATAATGAGCCTGAATTCTGAAAATTTGTGCAGATTGACAACTCCAAAACCATTGCCATTTCTGGGGAAGGCCAGTTCCCAGCTGCCATAGCTACCCACCCCCCCGAACTGATTCCTAGGGCAAGGAAGACAGGATTGTGTCAGTGGATGTGCCAAGCTGGGATCCACCTGGAACAGAAGATAAGGTTACTTCCACCCCAAATTTATGCTCATAAAAAGGGAGAGGATTGGGCAAACCACAGGTCCATCACACCAAGCCACTGTTAAGGTTGAGCAATGTAGTGCTAGGCTTTCTGTTTGTTTTTCAGCAATAAGTTTTACCATGTTCATATGGCTGCAGGAAACATACTCTATTTTTGTCTTCATGATAACTATCAAATTAATATTTGAGAAAAAAATAAAGCAATTTCCAATTTGGTGGTAATATACACCAAATTAATATGACATTTATATTAAGAGATTTGTAAAATAAAAGCATATTGAGATATCTTTTTCTACCTATCAGATTGTCAGAAGTCCCTGATTCTGGTTGTAATGTTAGCTAAGTGTGGTCTTCTCTTCTGTTGCTAATGGTGGAGAAAATTGCTACAAAGGGAAATTTAGCAACATTTATCAAAATTGCCAATGCATTTACCTTTTTGTTTTGTTTTCACCAATTCTACCTCCATAATATGCCTATAAAAGTGAGAATGACTAAAAACAGCCTAAATGCAGGGTACTGGTTAAATAAAATGTGAAATCCTTGCCATGAAATGTCATGCTTTTTGCATCAGATTGAGAACACAGGGTCTGCATCAATCACAAATGTCTCCAAACAGAACGCTGAGCAGGAAGAGAAAAGAGCTAAAGACTGGGTAGCAGGTGCAGTCTGTCAAATGGGGGTGGGCATCTTCTCATTTTATAGCTTATAGTATTTTCATTCATGAGTCATAGGCATATATGAAGCATTCAACATAAAGCATTATGCAAAGTTAGATATTAAAAATATTTAAAAACTAAATGTGTGTTTTTCTCAAGTACTTCTCAAGAAAGATTTTACAGAAGTTGCAACCTAATCCCTGTCTATGTGAGGTGTTGCCTCAAGGCTATTAAGGTGATAAGTAGATAGTAAGATAATCATATTTTTTGGTAATCATGATGGTGCTATGATTTTCAATTCAGTTCTGTTTCAGTCCGTAAATATTTTGGATCTGGCCTGCTTATGCCATTTAAGTCACTTTGAACCTTGGGAATTTGGGGATTTTTTTTGTTTGGTTGGTTTTTGTGTGTGTGTTGGTTTGTTTGTTCTGTCTTCCTTAGGGCTATCTCCTTTTATGTCAAACTTAAAGCTTACCCTTTTTTTCTTTCTCATCTAATAGACCCCTATTCATCTTGCTAATATCAATTTGAAACTATACATTTTATGTAATGATTTTGTTTTATTTTTCATGCTAACTAGACTATAAAATTCATGAAATTTATTTATTCACTCCTTGTCCCCAAAGCTCAGTGTAATACTATCACATAATTGTGCTCAGCAAATTTTTTTTATATTTAATGAATTGCATAGTTATTATCACAGGTTTAAAACCATGTAGTGATTGTTCAAATTCTAGGCTATTGTACTATACCAGAACAACAATCAGGTAGATATGTTCAGGAAAGAGAAAACCCCAGTACTTAGAAACAGGAAGCTGGCTGATGCTGCTGAAGACTCTACTATAAGTATCTATTTGCTCCCGGATTGTTTTTCCCTACAGTGTGGATGTTTTTCATATTGATTTCTGTCCGATACATTTATTATCTATCTCTTTGTAAACTCGCACTCATAGCACTTGCTTTTTGGGAGTAGTTTTAACTTCCTTCCTTTATCAATCTCCTCCTCCCAACCCTGTAAATAAATTTACACTCTGCAGAAATCCTTTCTAGGCAGTAAATGTTTAAGATTTTCTCTAGGTGAACTGAAAATTATAATTATAATTATAATTGAAACGACAAGGATTTCTGACTTTTCTAAAAACCTATCATTCAATTCAGTCAAGTTCTTCCTTTACACAAGAAATATGTCCACATAGGCAGAGGTGGATTCTTACAAATTGATAAATGTCCTTTTCTCCATTTCCTCCACTTTCTAATTTTCATTAAATGAACATTGTTTTATGCTTGTTTCTTTGGGTAGTTCCACCTGAGTCCTTGGTGCCTGTTGTCAGTTGAATCTGAAAGCCGTCCTTCCCCCCAAGGCTCAGGTATTGAATGCTTAGTCCCCAGCTAGTGGTGCTATTTTGGGGAAGTGGTGTAAACTTTAGGAGGTGGAGCCTAGCTGGAGGAAGTGGGTCACTGGGAGAGGGCCTTGTCACTGACCCCTTCCTTTCTTTCTATCTCTTTTCTCTAGCTGTCATGGACTGAGCAGCCTCCTCCACCAGGCAGTTCCACCACTGTGATCAGCCTTACCCCAGGTCCAAGGCAACGGAGCTGGCAGACCATGTCCTGAAACCTCTGAAACTATGATCCGAAGTAAATCTTTCCTCCTTTTAAGCTATTTCTCTCAGGGATTTGTCACAGCTACCAAAAAGGCAGACTGACACAGTTCCACTTACTTGGTACTTCTCTGATATATCTGCCATATTTTAAAACTCAAAAGTATCTCCTAATATTATTTCTTTGGCTGAGTAAAGTGTGATTGAAAATAGATTGGATGTTGGAAACAAGCTGTGATTATCACAGAGTTTTGAAAATGACAGTTTTCTTTTGATTATTTTCTTATAATTACCAAGCCCTTCCATTTGTTTCTGAAACAGGATGGCAGAGTGAATTCAAAGCCCTCTTCCAGGGAGCAATCAGATTTGCTTTTCAGGGGGTCAAATAGCACCTGAAAACTCTCTCATCCGGATTGGGTTTTCTCCAAAATCCAGTCCACATACTTGACGACGTTGGTGTAAATGCCTGGCCGTTCCTTTTGACCACAACCTTCACCCCAACTCGTGATGCCCACCAAATGCCAGACTTCGTTGTGTTTACAAGACAGGGGTCCCCCTGAATCTCCCTATGGAAGAGGGAGAAAAGAAAAGGTGAACAGATCACTTCAGATGCTTCCTGTATTAAATACATTTTGTTCAGAGTGAGTTTGCTTAAAATTTTCTGGGCTTTCATAAACTTCAAAGGACCTAATCGCTCACTTTTACCCAGTTTGTCAATTTTAGATTTCAGTTTAAGTAAAACAAGTTCACTGTGCCTTCTTCTTTCCACGGAACTCTGGCCCTTCATCTCCGCTAAGCACTCCAAAGTGAACACTGGCCCTTCATCTCTGCTAAGCACTCCAATGTGAACACTGGCCCTTCATCTCCGCTAAGCACTCCAATGTGAACATTCGGTTGGTTGGGGCACTCTGTTACCTTACAGGCATCCTTCCATCCTTCCTTGTGACCTGCACAGATCATCCTATTGGTGATTTTATGCCCTTGGTATCGTGTCTGGCATTCTTCATTTGATACCAAGGGTATCTCGGCTTTCTGGAGAGTGTTTTGGGTTTTACCTAAAAAAAAATTTAGTGGAATATACATACATACACACACACACACACACACATATATCCCATATTTAAAACCAAAATTATACCTACATCTCATAGACCTTTTATAGTTACAAAGTATGAAGAAGACCTTATTTTCGCTGTTGCATATATCATTTTATTAATGTTAATTAAGTTTGAAATTAATTATAACTAATTTGAATTACTTCTCACAGAAAATAATTGGATAAAAAGTAAGACACAGAAAAGTGCTAGATCTCACATTTAAATTCATTAAAAATAATCTTTAAAGAGGTTCAATCATATTTAAGTTTTCTAATCAGGCTGACATGATATTCCCTTGAGTGATTTTTTTTCTTTCCATCTTTATTATTCTACTTCCTGCAATTGAATAGTACTGATTTACTTGCATTTTAACTGTAGGACTTGATATGGAAAAAAAGGCTATGGTTAAACAATTTTCTTTATTTTCAGGAAGATTTCACAATTATTTTTTACCTCTTAACTTTCTGTATCCCCATCCAGTCACCCAGCAGTCAGTATATATTATATTTCTATCTCCTTTGGATGGTAAGCATATGGGTCGTTGAGAATCTAAATTTTAAAAACCATAGTTTAGTTATCAGAAACTGTTGTGATTTGGACCTGAAGTGTGTCCCCAAAGGCTTATATGTTAAAAGATTGTTAGTCAGCCTGTGGTCCTATTGGTGGGAGATGGAGCCTTTAGGAGGTATGACCTAGTGGAAAGAAGACAGATCATTGGGGACATGTCCTTGAAGGGCCTATTGGGACCCCATTCCCTTCTTTCTCTCACTCTCTCCCTGCTTGCTGGCTACCATAATGTGACCAGCTGTGCTCTGACACAGACTCCTTGCCATGATTTCTGCCTCACCATGGGCCCAGAGACAATGGAACCACCAAGTATGGACTAAAATCTTTGAAACCATAAGCCTAAATAAACCTTCCTCCTCACAAGTGGATTATACCAAGAGCTTGCCACAGGGACGAAAAGCTGACTAACACAGAAGCAAAATATCTTCTTTACCAGAAAAGACTCTTATTCTATTTGACTTTATTTGTCTTTTTTCTATTATATTCATTTTTGCCTCACTGTCATATATTTTCATCTCTCATATTTAGTATTATATATTATACAACTTAAGATGAGGGGACAAGAGAGAGATATGCCACCCATCCCTCCAACTAGGTGATGTTATAGAAATTGTTTAATTATTCTGATCTTCAATTTTTTATTCCTAAATGAGTGATATTTGTGTAAATTATCTTTAATTTTCTCATACATTATACAATTCTAAACTATTATGTCATTTTATGTGCCTGAAGAAGCCTAAAGAAAAAAAGTCTCTTCACCTAGATTCTCAAAGTAAGATCCAGTAATTAGGTAAGATTATTTGTCTTAACAGAATGAAAGACTAGTTTTCTGGACTCTCTCCCTTTCATGATAACACATGGAGACACTGGTAGTGCTAAACATTTTATCTAGGTCAACTTTATAGATAACTTCTACTTGATATTCTACATACCTGTATAATTCATGATTGTTTCCAGTTTCAATAAGGCAATGTCATACCCACTTTCTGCCATTTTATATTTATCATGAATTATTATTTCTTGAACCCCAAAGAAAAATGTATCTTCATTTATTTCAGATTGATTTACAATGCCACCATAGACACGCAATATTTTAGGTGATTCCACCCTAAGGAACAATTAAAGAAGAAAAATATTCTGTCACTAAATAATTCCCAAACATTTTGAATTGTGTAGCTATTGAACTGGCTAGTACTAATATTTTCTGCCAATAGTAGGCTCTTAGGTTCAAAGAAGTGATTTCATCTTAAAAATTTTCAGTCACATATTTCCCATGAAGAAAGTACTAAATTAATATTGTCATATGTTGAACACATAAAATAAATGCTCTTTCCATTCTCCAACAGGCACACACACAGGACACATATGCTCGCACCCCGCCACACACACACAGAGTTCTGGGTTTTAGTCTCAACCCTGCCATTGAATATCTGTGATTGTGAGAGGTAAAGGGACTACTGACCTCAAATGTATGCTTGAATTATGAGTGAGCTGCTTACAGATGATAAAAGAAAGCTAAAACAAATGAACACACACACAAAGCCAACTCAGAGGATAAAAAAGTAGCAAAAAGGAATTTTGGTCAACTAGTATTCCCTGAGATGAATACTTTCCCAGATAAAGCTTTTATGCTTGGCAAATATTGAAACCAACTTAAGTTGGGAGTCCAAATTCATGATGCATAATGAATTCTTTCTGTATTTGGAGGCAGGGAAAGTGGAAATATTATTCCAAGAACAGGAAATTCCTTGTGAGTTTAGTTCTGGGCTCAATAAGCAGAGGTGATATGCTTTTATGGGAAACAACAAGAAGTCCTAGGATATCTCTGCACCTTAAATGGGAAAGTGGAATAGTATGCAAACAGCCATGTCCCTGTACCTAGTCTGATGCTAGTGCACCATGAGTGGCTCTTCTCTTTTGTTTCTTCCCCTCCCCTAAAGGAAGGAAATTCATTTAGTAAGTAGGATAAGTTACATTTTAAAAGTATTTATATGCTATACACTAGTGGTGGATCTCACCTATGTGTGAGGATGGGAAATTAATTCAAACAGCAATGGTACTTACTCAGAGAAACAATGAGCAGCTGTTAATATCCACTGGTTTCCAATGATGGAGCCTCCACACAGGTGTCTCTGCATGGGGGAGGTGATGTGCAGAGTTACCTGCCACGGCCACTCACCATGAACAGATGGACTTCCTCCAATAATTCTAGGCTTGATTTTGGTTGTGCACACTACAACAGAAAGATTGCAATGGGCAATTTTCTACATCTTCATCATCTATTAGTAGTCATGTTCCTTAAGGAAATTCTGGAAGGCCCTTATGAGCTAAACACTGAGAAGTAGCATAAAAGCAAAGTCTAGGAGCCTAGGAAAGCAGCAACTAAGATACATTATGAGTTACTCAGTAAGACCTTATTAGGTACAGATTATAGGTCTTGATATTCATTTTATTTTTTTTCTCAGTTTAAGCAAAATGCTGAAAATTTAATGTTCAACCTTACACGTGGTGCTAAGAAATGTTTTATTTTTAATGGCATCGTTACATATCTTCAGAAAGTTCAAATATATTGTAGGCAATGACAGTACAGGATATGACAAACATCCCAATTAGAATCCCTTCTCACATTAGAGTATTATTTCATCTAATATAGTAAGTTAAATCTAGTTATTCAATTAATTCAAAAAGTGTACTAAAAAGGCATAAGATTTTGATTTTTTTTCTCTTATATTTTCTCCTGTTACTCTCAATCTACAACTGATACATTCTGTAATGTTCACAAGCCAGAATGTTTGAGTTCAATACAGAATAAGATAGTGAAAGAAGAAGGGTTGAAATGGAATCTGAAATTTACCAAGGTGTGAATGCTGGGTCTCATTTTTCATACCATGACAACATCACTTACGAAAAATTTCCAATTGTCCCTTCTACTGGTAAGAAGTGAAGTAAGACAGCATACTTATTATTGAATGCTCCTTCTTGTGTTAGGTAAATTTATTGTGAGGAAAACAGAGAATATATGACTTAATTGATTCACTTCCTGAAGAGGCTTACATCATCCAAAGAGTCTGATCAAAGTCCCTCTAAACTCCAGGAAAATTAGTTTACTCTTTAGAATACTTGGTATTCAATGTAATATAAGTCTGTATGTTCTACAAAACACATTCTCAAAAGTTTAAGAATGAAGTCACCTCCTCAGTATGGCCATAATCTGACATAAAGATTTTTATTCTTCTAAAATTATTATAAGGGATGATTATCATTCCCATTTTATTCAGTAAGTTTCAATTGCATCTTAACTTATAGGACATTATAATATTCAATATCAAGCAAAACAGTCTAAAACATGTATTAATGTAAATCAATACATGATAAAACTCATAAGAGCTTATCATAGAAACTTAGGGAGAAGTATATGTAATATGTTCCTTCCTGTTGGATTCACCTATAAACAATCTCTTGCTATTATGCTTAGGAATTAGCCACTGAGATGGAAGTACTGCTGAGCTGATTTTTATTATAATTTTTGTTGTTATAGACTTTGTAAAATCCAGACAATCTTTTTTTATTTCCACACCCTTGCTATAAATTAATGACATCTTTCTGTAACTTTTGCCAATATTAGTAGATCCTTTTCAGGGCAGTTGAATAAATGAAAGTCCCTGTAAAAGGAGCCAATATTTCTTGAGCAAATATAGAACTTTTAGAACATATGAATGTTATTTATATTTTGTTAAAAGATCAAGTTGGAAGAAAATGAATAATTTGGTTAACCAAGGTGCTAGTTGATATTTCAGTCATCAAAGATAGAAAAAATACGTGGCCTCGATACCAATAAAAAACCCTATGAGCGTTGGCTGAGTCTGTGTCTCACTATGAAAGGACAGTTGTATAAATGACTCAAATTAAGCAATGCAGAGTTCTGTCAAGACCCAAATAATACCTCTTAAACATGGTTAGCCTGGGTGAGAAAGTGAAAACAATGGAAAATTGCTAAATTTGTGTTTTTCTAATTTTCTCCCCTCTGTGGCTATTATTGGCTATCATGATGCATTCTGTATAGAACAACTCCTCCAGATGCTTTTCATCAAAGTGACATTATACTCACCATTATCCATTTTACATAACCTTAATGTATATCCAGAGATGCCTCCTCTTCCATGAAGTATTTTTGTTGGAGATCCATTTGAGGAAAGTTTCAAGTAACATTTACCCCTATAGTCAGAAACAAAATAGTATAAACATGAGGCACCTTGCAGAGAGATGGAACAGGCATAATGAGGCACCTTGCAGAGAGATGGAACAGGCTCAATTCGCTTACTTCCTTTCCTTGTAAGATTCTTGAGATTGGGAATAGGTAAAAAACTGGCAGCGGATGGAGCTGGTGCACAGTTTCTGGCAGACCTCATGACCTTTCACATCAACGATGTCCAGTTCTTCTCCCAAGAAATCAGTGTCATGGTAAAATGAAGAATGACAGAATACTAGGCAACAAATCACATGTCAGATATGAGACACATAACCTTAGCATTCATTAGTGTCCTCAAAAATTATTGACTTCAACCAGAAGAAAGTATCTTCATTGTTTACCTGGGATGCTGTGCCTGCAGTTCTGTAGACTGAAACCAGAAAGGGCATTGTTCTTTTTAATGCGTATACTTGGTAATCCACTTTCAGATGTTTTAAGAAGACAGAGATTTCTGATAAGAACAAAAGGAAAAATAAGCCTTGCAAAACTCATCAAGGAAAAAGAACATTTTTTTAAACAGATGGAAAGTCATCTCATGTTGGAATTTAGTAGTGAAAATATTTTTCATGAATCATTGAGTCATACTCTTTGACCCATATGTTATAAACAAATTTTCTAAAGTAGACCATCTGGTTCTATAAAAACTTCCTCTATTGTCAGTTTTCCTCCATTGTGAGCATTCCTAGTGCCTTCCTTCTTTATTTCCTTCCTTTAACACTCATAGTCGATCTCAAAGATTCAAGAATTTTCATGTAACCTAGAAATCTGCTATCCAGGCTTACACAGGCTTAGAAATGGATACATGTAATCCATTGCTGGCTCTGCACTCTGGCAACATCTTCCTTGAATTGAGAGACTTTTCCTAAGTAGCATAAAATCACATTCTTGAGTAGAGATATCCAACAGAAATTTTTACCTTCTCTATTCCATCTAATTCAGTAAGCAGCTGCCACATGTGGCTATGCTGAGGAAGTAAGCTTTTAGTTTTATTAATTTAAACTTAAATAGTCAAATCTTGCCTGTAGCAACCCTGCTCCTCTCACACTGACTTAGGGATCAAATGTGCTATTCCTCTCATATGTATTCACTGGTAATTTTATAAAAGGGAATAAATAAGACAAAGAAAATGGAAGGGATTATGACAAACTATAAAGACATTTTTCTAGTTTCTGAATTTTATGACTCCCCAAGTCCCCATCTTTGGATCTTCTTTATCTGCTGTTTGCATTTAATTGTCTGATGATCATACTAAAGTCCTGGGTTTAATGACCAGCCAGAATAGAATCTGACTTCTATATTTCCAGTTGCCAGTTCCACAATTTCCCCTAGCTGTCTAACAAGCGACTCTTCCCCCTGAGCTCTGCTCCTCATGAGATCTTCCTCATCTCAGCTACATTCCATCCTTCCTATTCTTTGAGCCAAACATCTTAATGATGTCAAACTTCCTCTCAGCCCACATTTAATCCCTTAGCAAATCTTATATCTGAATACTTCTCTATCATCTCCATTCTAGTCTTAGGAGGTGATTTTGCTTATTTAGTGTACTAATGCTATCCCTGGAACAATGCCTGATTATAGTAGACACCAAAATAAATTGTATTAAATTTATTTAGTAAGTGCAAGTAGCAGCTGTATTTTCATGTGACTATTCTGGTACTTTTTAAATTTTAGCCTTACTTAATGGAAAATGAGGCTTACCTGGTAGGCAAGGAGCTCAACTTGGTTGAAAAGTTCTGAAGAACACTCTCCTCAGCAATTGAAAGCCAAGTCAAGAAAATCACAAGCGCTCCAAGAGCTCCAGCTCAGATAACGTACACAATCTAGGTTTGAAGTTGACTTGGTCTTGTTTTCATTTATTTGAGCCTTTTAGTGAATCTTACAAATAAGGGCACCAATCCCAGCAAGTATTCCATTGATGACACAAGAAATTTCCCTGCTTTTGATGTTGTCACTTGTCAGTTCCCATCAGTAAAGAAACAGGGCCTTGATTCTCAAATACCCTGGTACTACCCAAACTTTCTTGATGCAGGCCTTCATTTTTCACTTCTTTTGTTCCATTTTAGATTTGACATTTAACTGACATTTATGGCTCTTTCTGCTCCAAGTTCAATTTTCTTGTACAGGGCACTGGACTGAGTTGCTTCATAATGGTTTTAATCACTTAAAACTGAACAACTCCCCTTTGACCAAAGGTGGAGACTTCCCAAGAAAATCAAGAGGCCTTGGTGTCATGGGATTTGTGGTCAGTTCATGGGGAATAGAAAAGGAAGGGAAATAGCCATTCTTCTTTGTAATTTTTACCCTATACAGGTACTTACATTAAATTTTTAGCTTCTGAAAATGTTTAATGATGGATTTTAATCAGCTGTTTTTTAAAAGATGACAAATGCCCCTTAATCATAACTCCTTACCTTTGAGATTCTTTTTGCCATTCTTTGGAAAAGAAGGTAAAAAATAAGCAATTGGGGTGATGAGTACAAATGCGGCGACAGACAAAAGCATCCGGAGCCAAAACACTGTCAATGTTACTGTCTGCAAACACTGTACTAGGGAAAATGTCCCTAATACAGGCTGTAAAACAGAAGAAACCATGTTAAGAAATTAGTCCACCAACATTATCATGAAAATCCAGTCACAATCTTTGCAAATTCTATATTAAAAAGTTTAAGTTTATCCTAAGATCTTTAAATTTAATTTTAATTTAGAAAAAAAACTGATTATTTAAAACTTGAAATTTAAATATAAGTTCTATATAAGGCATAAAGAAGAAGATATTAAAAGATCGTTTGCTTCATTTCATCAGTGAGCAGAAATTAGTATCCAAAGTTAGGCCTGTTGTACAAATATATTATCAGTGTTATACATGTTTAATGAGTCAACTCTCTTATTAAGAAAACAATAGTTACCTAGGTTAGAAAGAGCACAGTATTTTAATGAAAATCCAGAAACCACATTATTGAGTTTCATTATTCCGGTTGGTGTCCCTGTTTGGGTGTACTTCAATAGACAAATGTTACTGAAGAAAAAAATGGATAAAAATTATTCTTCCAACTGCAAGTAGGTAAATACATGAGATGATTAAACCTTACCATTCGGAAGGAAGACTTGGTCATAGTAGTCAAGGAATGACCCTGATAAGCATTCACTGGAGAAGCAAAGCAGGTGACTAGAGTCCTAGCAGTGCCACCAAGCACTGGTGGTCCCATGAATTTTGTCATCAGTAAAATGACAGCTTGAGGGAGGCAATGTCATAAAGAGTAGGAGTATATGACTGGGTGATTTATCAAGCCCTTTTCAATTTAAACTCTTTTTTAAAATAATGCCTAGAAACATTTTCCTCATTGGCAGTTCATATTGTGCTAAGTGTGAGACAGACAAGAAGTCCTGTATGCTGAAATAAAGACAAGACATGGAAGACTAAATTCCATTTTGGTTATTTTTAAGTCATGGTATTTGAAATAAATCTTTGATACTTTCTTTGGTTTCCACTTATCTCCTTTTTGTGAATACAGAGAGAATATTAAAATGTTAAAATACAAATATCAGTAATTTGATTTTCTTGCACTTTTTTGTTGGATTCAATATAAATGTAAATAAATATAAATTTTCAATCAAGAAAATCCAGATCATCTCAAATATTTTTAAGTATAAAATTAATGATACATTTTATAATAAATTTTAAAGATAAAGATGGGGATTTAGTCATTAGTGAACATATAATTTTTATCTTTTTAAACCATAGCTGTGTTCCTGGAATATTTCAAAATGAATTACAAAGCAAGGTAAACCTTTTCACATGGGCTTCAGTTACTTTGTCTTAGGCACAAAGGAACTGTTATTTAGGGAGCTGAGCAGGCTTTTATTTCTGATTCTGTAGGGTTAGACTTTAAGATCTTTTAGGCTGAGAAGAACATTGCTAATCTGATCAACTGCAGCTATTTCAAAATTTCCAATTTGAAAATGTAACACTTTCCAAGTTAGCTAGGGTATGAGTCAAGCACACACACACATTTCATGACAGTATCATTAAAAGATAAACTCTTTGCTATAAATTAAATGAATCAAAATCAGACTTTAAATGAACTTTTCCTGATTAAAACAATGATTGCTGTTATACAAGTGTCTTTTAGGGGTAAAAAATGAATTTTGGCATCAAGTTGATGAAAAACATTTTTAATGAATCTGCATTTTGCTTTTCACCAGCTTTTCTCTTGTCTGTGGACTCAGCCTCCAGCTCACTCACCGATGCTCTATGCTGGGAAAATGCTTTGTTGCATATGTGAAAAAGTGACAATGGATGTCATCCGTGCACCTCTCTTGGCATTCCTGAGCATTCTTGGCAAGAGAACTATTGTAGTTCATGCCCTTCATGTCTAGATCCACATAAATATCTTTGCTGCAAGCTGGAAATAAAAGTGGAAAATACAGGTACCCTTCAGATTCCAGAAACAACTGCAGTATTGCTCCCTGAACAACTGAGCCTCCTTACTTACACTTCCAACTTTTCACCCACTTTTCTCAGAAGTCCTTTCCTTTCAGTATCAATCTGCTTAATTCAACCCTCACGTGGAAGCATTAACAGAAGGCTAACGTCCTTCTTACATTGCAACAATTTTATATGTGTAAGTTTGCATTTTGGTACTGATCTAGCCTCTCATTGACTGATTGAGTCACTAATTATTCTACTCAAATATCTATTTCACTACTAAGATATCACAAGTTAATATTGGTATTTTCTCCCTTTCATTTGAATTAATATGTTTAATAAAGACTCATAAAATTTTAGGCCTGGGATGGAGAAAGAAAATAAGCCAATAATGAGAATGGCAGTAATAAGATCACGTCCTTTTATGAGATAAAGAAATTGTAATTGATTATTGTGTGTGTTTTTTGTAGGGAAAAAGGAGGCTGGCCTGCATATGTGATAGTTTTTAACTCTCCATAGAAAGAAGTTTAGCAAGGGGAATTTATTTGATGTGTACTATTATGTAATCATTATAATAACTGGTATTTATTAATTATAGTAAGACATATTACCACTTAGTTGGTGTGAACATTTCTTGAAAGAATACCCAGAAATTGCTCCTGTCATATTCACCCTTGGCAGTGTTTCTGTGACACTGTCTTTCAGAATGCAAACAAACCTGTTTTTAAAAATAAATACCATTATTGGGTGGGAATTTGCATTTTTAAAATATAGATCTTTAATGTCAGCACACAGAAGACCGAAGAGAAGGAAACAAACCACTATCTCATGCTAAAACAAATATTTAGCTAAAACAAATATTTTCTTAGCAAGATTCTGGCTTTTTTAAAATTTCAACATCCTTATAGTTAAAAGAGCACACAATACTCTTCCTAACAAGAAACAAACAGGAGGGGTGAACTATGGCCTATTGCTAAAATGCATCCCCAATCTGCCTGTTTTTATGCATGAACTAAAAATGGGTTTTATGTTTCTAAATGGTTATAAAAGAACTTACATAATGACCTTGATTTTGCTACTGAACCAAAGGAGCATAAAATATTTACTTCTAGATTCAGGATAGTAATTTTTATAAGTTGAGAGTACTGTGTAAATATCTGTGAATGCAGCAATAATACACAAATATGTTGACAACTTAGTTTTGAATAAAGGCTTAATTATTTCATTTTCATGTTTCTCATAGAAACAAAAGAGGGTGAAATGTTCTAAAACTTTAAAAATATGACTGGAGAGACAAACCAACCAAATACAATTGGTGAATTTTTATGAGATTATAGTTAGTAGCTCTAAATTACCTTGGGAGGAAAATGAGATATGTAAAAATGATCTCTTGTTAAGTTTCTTATATCTTTTGTGTAGGACAATACATGTTGAATTAATGAGGGGTGAAATGTCATGATGTTTTAAAATTACTTCAAATGTTTAAACATGTAATATGTAAATAAAGCAAAAATGGCAGACTTGTTGGCAAGGGATTATTGTACTCTTTTTCCCCAAATTATCCTTGTTAAGTGTTTAATTTTTACTAATAAAATAGCTGGGGAAAGTTCTTAAACAATATTAATAAACAATAGAAAATCACATAGCAAATGATTAAGAACATTGATTAAATGTTTAAACAAGAAAGAAGAAAGGAAACATACTCTTGGTATTGAGACTTCAAGAGGGGTGGAACATCCACACCGAGAGGCATTTAATGTTGCCCTCATCTGCTTAGACACCAGCTTTCTTTCTGTAATATTTAATATTTCAACTGAAGGAGAATTCACTATCCAGTTGTTAACATTCTACTTCACAAAATGACAGATGGAAGTTTATTAATAGGTAATTGGCCTGTAAAATCTAGTTCTCTGTAGAAATGTAAATATTTACCATTTGGAAGAATCTTCAGATGATGATTCAGCCATAAAAGTGAAGATCAAGCATCTTGGATGGTGGGTACAGACCATTTGGCAGTACTCGGCACTTGGTGTAAAAACAGTATGAATGTCTCCTCCTTGAAAGGAGGTGTCTTTGAACAGCTCAGTCATACATTCTGTAATGCAATGCATGGCAAATATTATTTTGGATCTTATTGGGCACATATATAGTTAGATAATAATCTGATAAAGGCAAGGCAGGGAGGTTTACTTAACAGAAAATATGCCTGAAGTTAGACAGTGACATAATTGATACTTGTATGTTAGTTTCTGGAATGAATAGCCTCAAGTGGAAAAAAACCCAGTCACAATATGGTACATTTGCCTCAAGGGCATCATCCTTATGAGTGATGGTCTTGGAGACATGGAGTGCTGTGTAGGTAATTAAATTATTTCTCAGATCACTACTAAGAAAAGACGCTCTTTAGGATTCCATCTAGATCTAGAAGGGGCCTTCTGCATCTTCCTTTATGCATTGTCTCTCCTTGTTCAAACTCTGTGATTATGCTAAGCAAAGGATCCAGACTGCTCATTTTAAAGTAGTGTCTGATGGCTTTTGATATGATAACATATATTACCTCACCAGGTAAAATGGGCTAAATTACTAGCAGGAAATACAGGGCCTTGAAAAAATTATTGAATCCCCATTAGTTAAAACTTCAAATAAGTTTTTACTTTTGTACAGCTAAGTTGCATAAAATCTAAAATCTTTTCTGTTGCTAGAAATAGGTATCTGATAGTCCACATTATATGTGACTTTTTAGGTCATTTGTTCCTTAGTCACTGAAAAAAATGTAGTTTGATATTGCCACATTCTCGTTCAAAGGCACTGCTATACTCCCCTTCTTCTCCTAATGTTAAAAATATATAACCAAAATAAAAATACCTCAGACAGAATAAAATATAACTCACACCAATAGATAACTTGGAAAGTGTGTAGGTATAAGGCAGTCAAAACTACTATAAGAGGTGTGCAGGATTTTGGTAGTCTATGAACTTGGAGAGGGAAAATTTCATGTGCATTTCACTAACTTCTAACTGAAATGTGGCATATCCCATTACTAATGCAAGCAACAAACTACATTAGCATTCATAGTATCTGTACCTATGAATAATGTCATTATTACCCATTACTAGCTCACTGATAATTACTACTATGCAGTTTTAGATCTACCTCTAAATCTTGTTGCATAATTGTTAATAGGAACCACATGTGCTTATATATTACATGATTTTACACTTTAATTATATTCCAATATAATTGGTTTCCTCAGTAATCCTATATATTTTTAGTTTATGCATTTAGAAACATTATTCTAAGAATGGACTCCATAGTGTTCACTAAGCTGAGAAAGGGGTTCACAGGTGTACAGAGTCCCTGCCACAGATCCATCTCAAAAAGTGCGTCCAATGCCTTTTAAATTACCCTCATATAACCTCTGTATATGGCTTGATTTTCTCCAAAATTGGCACACATCCCATGAATGCATTACCTGGAGATTTGCCATCGTTCCTGAAGTTCTATGTGGCTTTCAACCAAACTATACAGCAACCTCCCATTAACTGAGTCTATTCTCAGTTCCCACTGATTTTGGGAACCCTATGTGCCAATTAAAATATTACTTTCAAGAAGAAATCAAATAGATTTTTAAATAATAAATATGCTATTTTCTTTGAATATAGTGCCTACTAATTGAATCATTTGACTTCAAAGGCAAATCAGTTTTCAATATCTAAACATAGTTTCTAGAAACAGTAAAAATGGATTTGTCTTCATTTGTTTGATTGTTTATTCAGTTTATATTCAGACTTCTAACAAATTTGACTAAAATAACTTATATGTTAGTTATCTTGGATTTTTCTAGGCACACAATTATATTACCTGTGAACAATCAGAGTTAATTGAGGTTATTGAATTTAGTTTAAAATATGTTAATTGAGTTAGTACTGACATGTTTATCAATAAAATAAAAATATTATCTCAAAATAATAATGGACTATTAGAACCTTAGCAACAAGCTTGTCACAAAATGAATTAAATTATGAACTGTATAGTTTAATATATTACATAGAATTTTTTATTTTATTTTATATTTTATTTTTTTCATTTTTCTTTTATTATTCATATGTGCATACAAGGCTTGGTTCATTTCTTCCCCCTGTCCCCACTTCTCCCTTATCACCCACTCCGCCCCCTCCCTCTTCCCCCCCTCAATACCCAGCAGAAACTATTTTGCCCTTATTTCTAATTTTGTTGTAGAGAGAGTATAAGCAATAATAGGAAGGAACAAGGGTTTTTGCTGGTTGAGATAAGGATAGCTATACAGGGCATTGACTCACATTGATTTCCTGTGCGTGGGTGTTACCTTTTAGGTTAATTCTTTTTGATCTAACCTTTTCTCCAGTACCTGTTCCCCTTTTCCTATTGGCCTCAGTTGCTTTAAGGTATCTGCTTTAGTTTCTCTGCGTTAAGGGCAACAAATGCTAGCTAGCTTTTTAGGTGTCTTACCTATCCTCACCCCTCCCTTGTGTGCTCTCGCTTTTATCTTTATTTTAAATGTCTACCTAAATTCGCCATTTTTCACTTATGTCAGAAATAAAAAAGAATTTATTGAGTTTACTGTGTTGAATGCTAACAACAGTATCAGAAATTAAATGCAATATAAATAAATTGTTTCTAAAGAAATGCTTTTTTCATTTTAAGTAAAGAATAAACACAGGGTCTAAAATATTTATACTAATGTGTCCTATTGAGTATCAATTAAGTAGTTTATAAACAAATTTAGTGAATATGTGTAAGGTAGAGAATTAACAGCAATAGTTTAAATACTGAAATGCATAAACTATGTATGAATATTACATAACATCTTTCAGACCAAAATCTGTGTATGTGTGTGCGTGTGGATGTTTGTGGATTATTGAACTGACTGCCTTAGGGGAAAACTGCCTGATCAATGAGGCAAATCAACACTTCTGCTTTTTAATGTTGTCTTTAACAGCATTTAAATGTGTTATGTGGGTAGATATAGATGCAAATGGATGTTTAGACATAGACACAGACTCTTAGGAGTAATCCTTCACCTGCATTGAAAACTCCTGGAGCCTTCAATGTAAAACAATAATTTTATCTCTAATCCTGTGGTAAATGGCGTAAGGCTCTTGTACACACATAGAAGCCTCAGTGTGATGGTCCTTCCTAGACTTATGCTCTTGTTTTCACTCAACAGGTCAAGTAGTGAAGCCATTTCCAGTCCATACTGAAGACAAAGCTCTACTTACCACCAGAAACTGAGACAAAGAAAATGAAATGTAGCATTTGATGTAATAAGATCATCCTACAAAAAGAAAAGTGTGCACAGTTTTAGAACATAAAATGTAAATTTATAATTAAGTTAGTGGGATCAAAATTCCAAAGAAATATGTAGGGAAGGGACTAGTTCATTCAACAGTGCTCACAGGGTTCCTATCACAATGCTCAATTTTACCTTTTCAAAATCCTAGAACATTCTTTGGCATGGTGTGTGTATATGTTCAACATTGTCCGGGTTTTACAGAAACCAGAACTGATGGGTCAGAGTTCCCCTTTTCCTCTCTTCCCTCCCACCCTGCCTCCAGATTCCCCTATCAATCTGATCCTCTGTTACCACCATCCCACCCTTCTCCACACCCCAATTTTCCATCTTTATTTTCTCTTCCAATTCACTTCCTTTCTTTCCATATTTGAGGTCTTTCTCTACATCCATTAAAGAGCTCTGAATGATCTTCTACACATAAAATTTTCTATTTTTAAAAATTCTACTGCAAATACATTAATTGATTGCCTGGATTGCTTATGAATGTACTTATCCCTACTAAACACTGAACAGATTCTTCTATAAAAAAAACGACTTATCAGTGAGACAAATCAGTACTTCCAATTTTTTTGTATTACTCTTAAATGTCTTTTTAATTTTTAAAATACTTATTATTGAGTACAAATTACTACTCTCCTTCCATTCTGCTTCTTCTCTTAAATTGGATATGGATATTAACTAAAAAACCTCTCAAATGTCAAATCAGCCATGTTTTGAAAATCAACCATTCTCTATCACACACACACAAAAAAAAGAAATGTGAGGCATACTTGTTTTAGATTAGAGAAATATTAAATAATAATTTTTGAAACCATACCTGAAGACACCTCGTTTGCTTATTTGCTGCAATTCTCAGTAAGGGTGTTTTCCTTCTTCCAAAATGGTCTTCATCCTTTTCTAAATGAGCTGTGTAGGTAATGTTCACTTAACTAAGTCATTTCTGGTTCCCAGTGTTATGTAACTTCATCTCTTTGTGCAGCATATTTAAGAAAGTTCTGAAAATCTCTGCATGTCAGAAATGTACCTTAGGAGAATTGCTAACTATTTCGATATACTAAATAGATGTTTTTACTGTGTATTCAAATAAGTGACACACACGGAGACAGCTACAGAACTTGAACTTGTCTATGTGCTTTAGCAGTGGGGCAAAGTCAAATTTAGTATGCCTGCTAACCAAAGCTGCACGTAACCACGCTTCCAAATATAACCTGTTAACCATTAATTCTAACCCAAAATCAATAAAGAAATCATGGAAAGTATGATGGACTTACTGATTTGTAGTACAGAGAAGGGAGACTTAGAGTGCTGTGGGTTCGGTGATGGGTGGAGATTAATGTACAGATTACAAATGTTTTGCTCTTACGGATTCAGTTTTCCTCTATATTATGTTACTTTTCCAGAGGCCAATGTAAATACCATTTGTTCTACAGAGCCAAACTCTTTATTGTTCTATTTTCAAACACGGACAGTCTAAAAGTTGATTTTCAACAGAAAACTATTGGTTCTCATAGCTTCTTTTACAGCTCAAGACACTGAGACACAAAGGGAGAACTAGGAAGTGACATGCCTAGCTGTTGCATGACAAGCAGTAATAAAACAGCTCAATTCCCTGAAGGATGAGGGAGCCTTGCACGTGAGGGAGCCTCCCAAGGGGAGGTCTCGTTGCACATTATAGAAAGGAAAGCCAGTCAAATGATTTCCTTGGTTTCACACGGCTGCATTTCTATTAAGAGTCTTCCCACAGCTTGTAGAAGATCTGAGAGCCCTGTGGAAGGCGTGACACTCCATGTCCTCACACCCAATCTACTCATTAGTTTACTAGTCTTCTCATTTGAGTAAACACTCTGCAGCAGCACTGCCAACCAGCTACCTGTGGGTCCCTGGCCATGTTTCATTAGTTCTTCTCACTCATTTGTAATATTAGACACTAATTAGGCCTAAGGAATTCTATGTGGTCCTCTGACAACCTAACCAAAAAGAAAAACAATAATAACAAAAAAGAGTTGTAATATATCTGATTTAAATACACTTTAGGGAAAGATAATTTTATGGTTAGAGACGGCTCCCAATATTTTATGGAAAAGTTCAATAAGATATTATGTTTATAAACTGAATTAAAATTAAAAATATAATCTGAAGGCAAGAGCAGAAACGAAAGACAAATTTGTCCCCTTTAGAGATCTTGCTGAAGTCATATATACCAAAGAAAGTATTGTAATTTGTTCAGGGATAATGTACCTATGTGACCGTGATCTTCTGCACCTAGAGAACGTCACCAGTTGACTTTAAGCATTTCAATATTTGAGGACATAGAGACCTAAACATCATAGTAACATTGTCATGGCTTTTTTGCATGGTTTCTGAGGCTGTAGGATATTCAGGACCTTGTGGCCAAAATCTAAGAGCAACGATGACCCAAGATGAGGAACACTGAACAAACCTTTAAAAAATTCCTACAGAAAGAAAACCCCAGGGTGAAAGAGAGAATTTACTGAGGAAACAAGGGGAAAATAGTTAGCAAAGTGAAAGTAAAATTGAAATTTAGCACCCCATGGACTGATGGGAGTATTTTTTGAAAAGAAGAAAGAAGCCAGCCTTTTGTTCCACAGGGTAGAAAGGTAAGGGGTGGGGGTGAACTTAGATGAGACTTTTACACAAAGTGCTAATGCACTGTTGTTTTGTTCTACCTGGAAGGAAGGCAGCTACTCAGATGCTTTCATTTGATCTATTCTTCGGGCATTGTTACTCATCTTTCAGAAAAATCCCTCAGTTACTGTCTTGAGTTTCTCATTTAAAATTAAATGCATTCCACTCACACAAAAAGTACCTATGTAGGATGCCTGGCCTTTTTCTGAGGCTCAAACATAAGAATGACAAATTTATGCCAAGGAAGGCTTTTGTGGCAAACTGATATGTGAAATTATATGAGGCCCTTACTTTCCTGTGTTGTTTGTTCCCTGAAACTCTATCTCTTTCGTACAACCTGTCATAAAAAGAAGATAAAACGCCCAATCCTATTGAGAGAAACAGAAAGATTTTACATGAGAGCATGCTTCACTGGAAAACCAGATGCTATTTTCCTAAATTTGGTTCAACTAGTTAGTGAAGTTTCTAAAGCCTTTGAAATAGTATAAGGATTCTGGAATAGTTTTGTCTATTCAAAGTACAATAAGGGTCTTAACTGCATAGAAACTCTTTAAATAAACCTTTCTTTCAAACTGACTCAGGCATTCTAAAAATTCTTTTCAACTAATGCATTGCAGCTTAAAATTCTCATATCGACTACTTTTATCTTAAAAGGAATGCTTTTTTTTCAGTGAAATAAAATGTTTTTTTAAAGCCTGATCAAAGTTAGGCATTATTAGACAGAATCACAAGAGAATGTAAAATTTCAACAAAACAGACCCAAGTGTAAGTCAGAGAGGTTAGATCACAGATGAGAGAAGCTTTGGGTGTGTTCCCAAACCTCCATGTCCCAACATGGAGACCACAAAGGTCAGGGTGCAGACTCCTTCACAGTCATGGCATAGCCACTTTGTCTTAGAGTTCTTTTCTTGCATCAAAACTCACTTTGGAAAAGGGCACAGTCTGCCCATCCTGCAACCCTTGTCCTTCTGTTGTCCCTCAAAAGCATCTTTTATTACCGAGTTTTAATGCAGAGCTATACTTTTTCCCAACCTGGCATTACTGATATTGAGGCTCAATAATTCTTTGTTGTGAGGGACATTGCAGAATGCTTTAGCAGCATCCCTGGACTCTGCCCATCACAGCTAGTTCTACCCCTTCTCCAGTTGTGACAACTAAAATGTGACATTTTAGTTGTCACAACTACTGTCTTGAATGATGATGGGAATAACAAATGATGTTTCTGTCAACTTTTATCCTTCTCTTAGCAAGGGGCAGCATGCTATGGACCTAGAAGACATTATCTGGGATATAAATGTCAACCTTAGTCCTTGATAGTGACCTTGAGCTAATCTTTTTACCTCTGCAAGTATCTATCTATCTGTTCATTAGAACTTACCTAATGCCCATTTATATGCAACAAAAATGACACGCGGGGGGTAGGGAAAGAGGGACAGAGAGAGAAACTCTTTCAAAATTGCTTCAGTTTATTGGAGAAAATAAACATAAATGCTAATTAAAAGAAAAAAATAGCAATACCACTCCTGGGGATATACCCGAAGGAATGTGACTCAGGTTACTCCAGAGGCACCTGCACACCCATGTTTATTGCAGAGCTATTCACAATAGCCAAGTTATGGAAACAACCAAGATAGCCCACTACTGACGAATGGATTAAGAAAATGTGGTATCTATACACAATGGAATTTTATTCAGCCATAAAGAAGAATGAAGTTTTGTCACTTGCAGGTGGAACTGCAAGAACTGAAGAACATCATCTTAATTAGCCAGATTCAGAAGGTCAAAGGCCATGTGTTTTCTCTCACATATGGAATATAGACCCAATACAAATACAACAATATAAAAAACAGGTCACACTAAGGGGAGGTCACATACAAGAGAAGGAGGGTAAAGAAGGAAGTTAAGAAGGGAAATATGTTTGATGTACTTCCTACACAAGAATAAATGTAGAATTTTTAATCTTGTTGACATTTCCATTAGAAGGGGACTAAGGAAGAAAAGAGAAAAATAGAGGAGATGAACCAATTCTGGTTATAATATACATATATATATATATATATGGAAATGTCGCAAGGAAACTCCCTGTGTAGCTATTTTAAATAAACAAAAATGTCACTTTTTTAAAAAAAACAAAATCAAAGAACAGGAGGGCAGAACAGGTTCTGACTTGGGGAGTGTGGTACCAGTGGGAGGGGTGGGATGTGGGGAGAAGGTGAGTATGGTGCAAATACTGTGTGCACATGTAAGTAAATGAAAAATGAGACCTGTTGAAACTATTCCAGGATTGGGGGAGGGGAGGCAAAAGGAGAATGATAGAGGGGGTGAATTCAACTATGATATATTTGATATATTTTAAGAACTTTTGTACCCTAGCACAATAATTAAAAAAAAAAGAAAAAGAAAAGATGCAAAACAAAACAAAAAATTAATTTTAAATCAGAGGCTGATATTGGAGTCCTTGACTGACTTCCTGTTAGTTGGTGTGAACCTGTTCTGTGTATCCTGCATTCATGCTGCTGGCACAGGGCAAGAGCAGTGCAAATTTCCAGATCTGATCCCTCACCACCCTTTCTCACATGGACCTGCCAAACACCCATGCCTCCCAACATCACTCTTCTTTATGAGGGAGAAGTCATTCCAGTCTCTCACTTTCTTAGCCTCTTACATACTTCTTTGTCCCATGAGGCTCTTACTGTGTGAGGGTTCCTCCATTCACCCTTCACATGAACACATGGTGAAAAATAAAGAAAATAAAGTATCACTGAGATCCAATTGGCAACTTGAAAATGATGATTTTTGCCTTAGGAAAGTCCCACATTTCAAAACTCTCCTCTCTGTTTGGCCCAAATGAGGTCATTCTCTGAAAAACAAAAGCCCAAGGGTTTACCCTGACAGCACTCCAAAGTCCTGTTTAAACGTTTACCCTTCAGAAGTATCAACACTAAACACCCGAAATAAAAGATTTTCATTACAAAGTATTTTTGTCCTTTTAAATATAAAACAGTTCCATGCAGAATAAGACCAATATCTTTATTAGATGCAAACATAAAAATTGAAAGTGTGTGTTTTTAAAAATCAACTCATGCAATCTACCAGGTTTCACAAAAGCCATTTGCTCCTGAAGCAAATTCTTAATTTCATTTTCCCACTATGTGGTCTGTTGATAACCCAGACCAATCAGTTTTCCTTCAGCCCCCTTCCATCTTTAATCATCTCTACCACTCAATTCATCTTTGAGCATGGAAGGGAAAATTCAATTGTCTTTAGAAAACTTAGCTTTTCTATTTTTCTACTTATGCAACATTTTGTGAATGGCCAATTCTGTGTAAATCAGCTTAGCTGAACTGAATCAAGCTACCCACAGTGATCTGTAGTAATCACTGGCAAGTTTGGAATGTATGTTGCATAAGGATTTATATCATGCATTCCAAGGCGACTTCACTCTACTTATTACCGTGAATTTACAAGCCTGCATTTTATGTAGTACTTTATACCTAAAAATGCTTCTCAAATTACTATTACAGAAGTCAATATCCACCGAACTCCCAGGGTTAATGTTTTTTGGAAAGCAGAGTCTTTGCCCTTTATGAAAGCTATGCAAAGAGTCTATTTCAGGAACTGCAACCTGAAAAATGCCACCCTGCAGGCCTTACCTCTGTATCCAGCCTAGACCAAGTGGTCCTGCTCAGGCTCCAAAGGTAGGAGGCTGAAATGAAAAGGTAGCCTGTTCTCCTATGTTCAGGTAACACATCTTTTTATTATAAAAGGGAATGATACACAGATCTCCTACTTCCACTGAACAGAATGAAACTCAGGCTTCCTAGCTCTTCCCCCAAGTACAGCAAACAGCATTAGGCTTAATGAACAAGCAACTGAGGCCCAGAGAAGTGGTCTCTGAGGTATGCTGTGTTGCAGAGGAAGAAGTATAATGAGAATGATCCCAGCCATGGTGCTAGAACTGGAGTCACTTATTTTCAGCTCTGTTTCACAACCAGAAGGAAACACTATCTAATCATGCTCTTTGGCCATTTTATTTCAAAACAAATAATCACAGAGCTCTTCCCATCAGGAGCTCCCTGTTACTGAATGTCGAAAGCATGTCCTGGCAAGACACTGTTCTGAGCCATTGTCCTCAGCAGCTGGGTATGTGTTGTGGTATTTAATCCTCATGACAAATATGTGAGATAAATGCCACTGTCCACATTTTGCAGGTGATGATTCCAAGGCTCAGGGTTGGTCTTGAACCCAGGTTGTAAGGCTGATGCTACACTCTGGGCTCTTCCTCACTGAACAGCCTCTTCATGCTGGTGATGTCATCAGAGCAATGACATCAGTGTTCTGTGTCTTCTCTAAAATCCAGTCCACATACTCAGCAACTTTCGTATAGACACCTGGTTGTTCCTTGCGAGCACATCCTTCGCCCCAACTGGTGATGCCCACCAACTGCCATATTCCATTGTGTTTACAAACTAAGGGGCCACCGGAATCTCCCTGTGTCACAGTAGGTAGAAACATGGGATGATAGAAAGTTATAACAAAGGTAACTCAAATATATGACCATCTTGAACATTCTGCAGTCACAAATCACACAGCACACACACACAGCTTCTTAAGACTCTTTGGGGATCTCCTGCAGCCATTAGCTGTGATGTGTGGTGACAATGAGTACAAGGTTGCACTTTAGTTTATTCCAGCTTCGTTTCTGAGGTAAATACAACCAAGACATGTTGGCACTATATCCCAAAGTCAAAGAAATCAGATGTCCTTATATTTTAGTATAATTATGGTATGTTATTTGAAGTATGGCATGCACCTGTACAGATTATGACGTGTGTACCTTAAATGGTATATGATGTACATTATATATGTTCAATTTGTTAAAAGTTGCTAATTAAATGACCACATCATTCGCCACCGAGTTTTCTGTTGGAGAGTTTTGAAATGAGTCATCTCCAGCAGAGTTTTGTGCGTTTCTTCATAATCAAAAGCCTTACCTTACAAGCGTCTTTCCCCCCTTCCTTGTAGCCAGCGCAGAGCATCTGATTGGTGATGACATAATCTCTGTATCTTTTCTGGCATTCTTCATTTTTTACCAAAGGAATGTTGACCTTTTGTAGAGTATCTTGAATTTCACCTGTGAAGTAACCAACATGTAATTCAGAGGGAGGAATACAATAAATTTGAAATAGGAGTAAAGTCTTATAGCAGACCAGGATGACTTATCACCAGGGTCATGATGAGTTTTGGATAAAGGCAGACAGTAAATGTCAAGAAGGTTGAGTTACTGAGAGAGAGAGAGAGAGAGAGAGAGAGAGAGAGAGAGAGAGAGAGAGAGAGAGAGAGAGGGAGAGAGAGAGAGAAAGAGAAGAGAGAAGAGGAGAGAAAGATGAAGCAAGAAGAGAGAAGGAAGGAGAAAAGAGAGCCCTATTTTGGCCTCTATCTCTTAAGCAATTTTCAACTCCATATCCTAGGCAGACCGGAGACTTTGCTTACACATTCTCTGCCATCCTCTCATCTCTATAGAATCCCCTCAGAAATCCCTTCATACATTCATAGCCTGTAATACAAAAACCTGCATGTTCTTACTTTCATTGTTTTCTTTTACATATTCAAAATCGCAATGTAAAAATATATCATTTCTGAAAATACATCCCAAACATCTGGCAATAGGGAGCATTCTGTTCTTTGAGTAAATCCATTTTCCATGAAGAACAGTTTATTTACAGATAACTTATTTCTACCCACGTTCACATTATCCTTGGATACATGTAGAGAATTTTCTTTGTTTAGTTAAGGTTCCTTTTGCTTTCTCCCTATCTGAGGATACTAGTCAGAAATATGAAATTTTTGAATTAGTAGAATACAGGACTGATTTAGTAAACATAGTGAGAATTGGTCAGGTGTCACTTTTTAAAGAATGACACAAATATTATTTGTTGTAGTGTTTATAAGGAACTTAATTTTGGAAACGAAAAATGATCTCTTTCTGGAAAGTTCAAGAAGCAATTTAATTGCACCAACTATGCACAAGCTGGGATTTTTAACCTCTGGTCCATAAACTCAGTAGAAAAAGAACACATGTTTACATTACTAATCTCCAATCGAATGCTACTAACCCATCAACTGTAAACACAGGCGGCAAGCACAGTAGGGGTGGTAGCACCTTTGACTTTGTCATCCACAAGGATAATAAAGAGTTTTTAATCACATCAACAATTTTGGGAGATAAATGAAAATATCACTTCTACTTATTACTCTCTCAAAATTATGGCAGATATTAAGAGGATTCCTTATTTAATACATGAATAAAGAAGCACATGTATCACTATATCTTATTCTTTTAACATATATTGACAACTATTTCACAATCTAGGTGTCTTTCTTTATGATTCTGTGTGTTTTATTTAACATTTAAAAGCACTGTTAGAAAAATGATTCATAGCTTCATCAGGTTGCAAGAGTGCATGAAAAAAAATTAAGAACTGGCCATAAAGAGAGATGAAGGCATGCTGGCCTGTACTACTGACCATTAATGTCAACTTGGTATTTGAAGGCAGGAACACTATTAATACTCAGGACCAGGTGGACTTCTGTGGGATTCTTGGCCCAATGAAAGCCTAGTCATTGATGCAGAAGTGAAGCAACTGATCTTTGTTGTGAAATAAGATGCTTGAAAGTTTACCATATAATTTTTTCAGGGCCAAGCAAAAATACATCTTCCCAAGTATGACTGAACAAATATTTGGGGATAAAGAGATTATAAAGATTGTGAGTTTGGACATAAGTTTAGAAAGAAGCTGATTACACTGATCCACTCCATGCATTTTAATACATCAGAATGACTTCAGGAAAAAACATTTAAATTATCAGGCTGTACCTTTTTCCTTAGTGTAGCCCCATCCAGTCACCCAACAGTTGGTATAAATTGTATGTGTATCAGCTTTGGAAGGCAGACATATTGGTTTTTGGAATTCTGAAAAGTAATTTTAAAATTAGAGTTGGATTAAGTAAAATTGTAGATATTGACTTTAAAAATGCCACCTTATCTTTTCCCATATTTTGTTCCCACAAAGTAGCACCAAGAACAAACTTCTGCTCTTTGTTCAATTTCTAAGGTCAAAGATTCAAGAAAATTTCTTGCCGTCAGAGTTGTTTACACATGACATAAAAATATTAACATTTCCTGGACTAAATAAAAACCCAGAACCTAAATTAACTGTCAAAGTATTTCTAAGTTCTTATGTTTATATTAGTAGTTCACAGTCATACCAAAAATGTCTATATTGTTCCATGAAGCACTTGAGCTCATTTCCTTACAACAAGGGAATCATCATTCTTATTTTACAGATGAGGATATTAGAGGTATAAGGAAGAAGAACAAGTTTCCTGAGACGACATAGCTGTTAATGGACATTAACAATTAATTGTGCTAGTGGGTGATCAGGTTCTGGGTGCCTCCAAAGTCAATCCTTATGTTCTGGTCTTCCCAGGGCCTCTTTTGGCATCAGTCACTTCTGTTACTCCTGGAAATTAATATCTGGGCCCACTCACCCTCATATTGTCTCAACATTCATAAGTTCAAGAAATGGTTCTTCTGCTTCTCTTGCTGCAGGCCAGTGCTCCCAGACTGAAAAAATGTTTCCAAAGCCTTCTATTTCAATAATATACAAACATCTGTACTCCCCCTGGGAAAATTAGCTCCCACCTCTTGCTCCTTAAGTAGAAGAGATTTTATATCAAGTCACAGAGCCATCACATCCCTGGCAGTTCTCAACTTATCCTCAACATCAACCAGAAAATAAAGATAAATCTCAATAGATCCAGCTTCTCATTTAAGCTGATGTGACAATTTAAACCAATACAATTCAGATTTTGCATACCTGTGTTATTCAAGGGAGCCTGAAGTTTTATTAAGGCAATGTCATGACCACCTTCTGAAATTTTATAATTCTGATGAATAATAAGTTCTTTTATTTTTGAGAAAGGAGTTTCTTTTGTAATCTCTGACAGATGTAAAATGCCACCATAAATGCGCCAAACGTCCATGAAGGGAATCCTAGGAGAGAGATATAAATACCTAATTAAAAAAAAATAAATAGTACATATGACCTAATTCTCCTCCTGGCAGTTTCTCATCACCAACAACAATAAGAGATCTCTGAAGATTTAGTACACAACATTGAAAAATACCCACTTTAGGTAATTACCTCGCATTTTCTGAAAGTTAAAAAAATAGGAGAATGTTGCTGTTCCATTCTGAGAAACTGTGGGAAAATCAAGCTTAGGTCACCAACTCTGAAAGCCATTGTTTCCATTAATTCTGAATTACCAGGTAGTTGTACCAATTAAATTTTAACCCCTCAAATAGATCAGCTTACTTAAAAATCTACCTATTTATATTTTGGAAAGCATAAACATTTAAAAGGATACCTGAAAACTGAATACTTGCAAAAGAAATCCAAAATTATAATCTTATTTTGTGCAAAGATCTAGAAATTTTTATTATCATCCAATGAATGGTGCAAGAAATGCTTCCATCAAATTCTAGAGGAAATCATGGAGGTGCAAAGTAGCTTCCTGTCAATGAAATCACAATGATTCCATGTCTGCGATCTCTTAAAAACTCACAACACCGAGCCTTCAAAAATGAAAATGCTTGTTCCTAAACTATAGTGCCTTTACAAAAAAGAGACATACTATTTCCTACCGTGGGGCTTTATCTCCAGAGTCAACCATCTTCCCTCAGCAAGGCCACCTGCTGCAGAGCTGCTACCTGAAATGCTTGTGCACTGGGTGGCACCCGAGTCCCTGACTGCTGCTATTGGATGTCATGTGCTACATCTTAACACACAGCAGTTTGGGCCCTGCCCTTAGGCAGGAAAGGGGTGAATTCTACTAAAATAAAAGTACAAATCACTTGTTTGTGAGAGAGATCAAGAGTGTTGCAGCATCTGTTTTGCTTATTCTTATGCTTTGTCCATTTCTACATTTCTTATGGAATGTAGGTATTATAGCACATATTTTCTGAGGAACTTTTATATTGTAAGGATGATGCTAAATATTTAAGTATGTCATTCAATCCTTCCAATAACATCGTGAATTGGATACTATTATTCATATTTTAAATAAAATAAAACTCAGATTTACAAATTGCCCTAGGCCACATCCTAGGTGACTCACACCCTATTCTAACTAAAGTCAAAGTGTTTAGACTTTAAAACTTTAAATCTGTCTTATTGTACTATTTGCAAATAAAACAGAAATCTTATTTCTGCTTAGTGCATAGGACACACTATTCAGATGGATCAGATTAATCAGGCCCCTACAAGTTAAATATTGTGAATATGATCCCTGCCTCAAAAGGTCATAAACGCCACTAATCATCAAGGAAATGAAAATCAACTCCACGATGAGATATCACCTCAGCCCAAGAAGAATGGCTGTTATCAAAAAGACAAAAGATAACAAGTACTAGCAAGGATGTGGCGAAAAAGAACTCTTGCACGTTGTTGGAAGGAATGTAAGTTAGTGCAGCCATTTTGGAACACAGAACAGAGGTCCCTCAAAAAAAAAAAAAAGAACTACCAAGTGATCCTTCAATCTCACTACTGGGTATTTATCCAAAGGAAATGAAATCAGTTTGTTGAAAAGACATCTGCATTTCCACGTTCATTGCAGCACTATTTACATCTTTGCTAAGCAATGGAAATACTCTAAGCGTCCATCAACTTATCAATAGATAAAGAAACTGTGATATATATACACAATGGAATACTCTTTCTTCACAAAAAAGAATGAACTTGTAACATCTGTGGCAACATGGATGATGCTGGAGATCATCATGTTAAGTGAAATAAGCTGGGCGCAGACAAATACTGTGTGATCTCACATCTATGTGGAATTTTTTTAAGTTTGTCTCACAGAAATTGAGAGAGACTGGTGGTTATAAGGGAGCAGAGACAGGGAATGGGGGACCAATGGGTATTAAGTTATAAGGAGATAGTAGTAAGAAGTTCTTGAGTACTGTTGCACAATAAGGTAACTACAGATAGAAAAGATGTATTGTATATTTCAAAAAGCAAAAAGAAAGGACTTCTGATGTGTTCATGATAAAAAGGAAGAACAAATGTTTGAAAAGATGGATAGGTTAACCTTGATTTAAACATTATACAACATATACATGTACAAAATATCACCACAGTACCCCATACACATGTACAAGTTTTATGTATCAGTTAAAAAGTAAATTTAGGGGAGAGGCGTGCTGATTTATGCCTGTAATCCCAGCTACACAAGAAAGTAAAGATGGAAGGATTGCAGGCTGGGGCCAGTCCTGAGTAAAAGTAAGACCATATCTGAAAAATAAATGAAGGCAAAAAGGGGTGGGGGCATGGCTTAAGGGGTAAAGCACTTGCCTAGAAAGCACAAGGCCCTGAGTTCAAAGCCCACCACTGCAAAAAAAAAAAAGTAAATTTAAATAAAATAATTTTTTAAAGAGAATAATTTCCCATTAACAAAGTCACATGATGCCTGAGAAACCGATTGTAGAGTTTTCAAAACAAACAGATAAGATCAGACCCATCCACAACTACCCGTCAAAGCAGTGGGCAGCAGTCAGGATCCACTGGCGTCCAATGATGGATCCTCCACACAGGTGGTTCCGAGATGTGAGCTTCACTTGCAGGCTGACCTGCCAGGGCCACTCTCCCAAAGAAGAGTTCGTTCCTCCCACAATGCGCAGGTTTGTTTTCGTTGCGCAGACTGAAAAGAGCGTGGCAGCGAATGGTCAGAAGTAGACACGAACCCGAGTCAAGGCAAACCAGACACGTAATTACGTAAGACTTGGCCATCAATCAGAACAACCCAGGCATTCCTTGACAAAGAATTTTACTTACTAGAGCTGCCCTCCTTTTTACACATTCTCAAAGAATAACCAGAGCTCCCTCGTATCCCATTCGTGATCCTAGTTGGCGAACCATCTAAAGATAATCTTAAAGAACATTTACACCTAGATAAAACAAGCATTATAAAAATTAAACCTTTGCAGATGGGAAACGTATGAAACTATCTCAACGATCATCAAATAAGCATTCCCTTACTTATTGCCCTTACAGTCTTCTGGGAGTAAAGAGTAAGTAAAAAACTGACAACGAATTGTCTTTGTACAGGTGTCTTGGCAAACATTCGCTCCTTCCACGAAGGTAGCATTCACTTCTTCCCCTCCAAAGTCAACTCCAGAGTAAATTTTAGAATGACAGGGCTCTGTTCCAAAATAAACATTAAAAGATATAAAATGAGGAAAGCAATAAACCACATTTACCCAAGTTTTGGGGGTGTGGGAATTGCTTTAGTATTTGTTACAAAAACCGTAAAATTTGTCACATTATGTAAAGCCATCATTGAGTCAGTTACCAGGCAGTGTTCTTCTGCAGGTGGACAGACTATGTCCAGATACAGTATTTTCTTGAGGAGTAAAAGAACTTGGAGCTCCACTTGCAGAAGTCTTAAGGAAACAAGCATTTCTATTCAAAAAAAAAAAAAAAAAAGGAGAGAAGGAAAATTGCATTAAGACAAAAGCAAATGCAAAGCAGCCCATATCAAAATAGCAACTCTGCAAATTTTATTATTCTGAGAAACTCTCTGCAAAGTAAGCCAGACCACACAAGGCTTAATAAATCATAGATATTAAATGGAAATCAAGCCACATCTCCAGCTGATGAAAACTAATAAGCACAGATAATCTGAAAAGAAGACAAGAACAAAGATCCACCTTCTAACTGGAAAAGAAAAATAAAAAAAAATCAAAGAATGAATTATTAGAAGCCACGGTCCCAACGCTATTATATAAATGCATGCCTTTTTGTTGGCCCCACCCTTAGGTAAAGAAAAAGGCAGATCATCTAAGGGGAAAGAGGTCAGACCAGAACTTGATCAGGATAAACAGGGCTCTAATTTCTAAAACGCAGAGGAGTTAGTTCCAGCAAGCATGTAAGATACGCTGCCAGCTAGTAGCTTTACCTCAAACCAACACAAAACACTAATGTCAGGAAGAAAGGCACCAGATCCCTTTTCTCCCAGGGTTGTGGTCACTGACTCCCTGTTGTTATTTTTTGTAAGTCAAGGTACGTAGAAAAATCTGCAGCCAACCAACCTGTGCCTGGCAGAAAGTGCCTACTTGAGTTCAGTGATGAGAGGAGCAGGACAGGCTGCCCTTCATACTCACCTTTGTGCCTCTACGCTCCATGCACTGTTGTGGAAGGTGAAGAAGAGGCAGTTGGGGTGGTAGGTACAGATGGTTCGACACACAAGAGCATCCGGGGTGTTGACTCTGCCCACGTCCACATCTGAAAATGCAAGGTTCTGAAAAAGATCCATGTTGCAACCTGTAGATGCACAGAGGGAGAATGATCTTCAGTAGATTACGTAATGCTAATTTGCTTGTACATTCTCATCACAACCATGGGGATTATGAAGGTTTATTATTTATAGCACAAAACATCTTAAGTGAAAAGTTGTTAAAATGTCCGCAAACTTGTTATTTGTCATTTGGAAGGATGCAAAACTTGTTCTAACACTGATAAGAGACAAATTCCTATGTCACAGAAATAGAAAAGTTCAACTTACACATTTTTTTTTCTTCGCTGAAATACTGGGAATTGAACCCAGTGTCTTGTGCCTGCTAGGCAAGTGCTCTACTGCTTGAGCTATGCTCTCAGTCCTCATATTTTCATTTTGTCTCTGAGATACGATCTTGCTATCTTTTGCCCTGCCTGGCCTCAAACTCATGATCCTCCTGCCTGTTCCTCTTGAGTAGCTGGGATTACAGGCATGAACCACCATGCCTGGCTTGTTCATATTTTCTTCATATTACCCTGATCCTGAGGCAAGCCTTAGGAACACAAAGTTTTATGTTCTTGAGTATTATTAGAAATAGTTTAATAAAAAGATTAACAAAAATTTCAGGCAGTTAACAAATATGCATTTGCCCCCTAAGGTTAGAGCAGAATAATTCACTTTCATTCTCCTTACATTTTAATTCTCAAGTTTATTTTTATTTGTGTTTATATTGCTTACTCAGTTTACTCAAAATGATAACACATAAATTCTATTAAAATTATGGAAACTTCCTATTATTATTATAGGAACTATGAGAAGGACAAATACAATCATAACTTACATGAACATAATTGGATCAAAAGAGAGAACCTCTTATCATTCATTCATGTGAGCACTCTGTGAGATTGGACATTAATTGTTTAAATTAAAAGCAAAGGGGCTGAGGGTGTGGCTGAAGTTGTAGAGTACCTGGCCTAGCAAGCACAAGGCCCCTAGTTCAAATCCCATACCACACTAATAATGATAAAGCCTTTGAAGCTGGAAGAGAAGGTATGTGGCACTGAGGCTGACCTACAACTCACTGCCTCATGACAAGATATGTTCCCTTTCTGGACCACTGCAGTTGGTGCACTTATTTTTTTTCTTCTTTTCTGCATGCTACTGTCTACCTAAATCTGTCCTATGGAACCATATAGACTAACTTAGTGCTTTTCCTAATGACAGCCTTTCCAAACAAACAAAAATCACCAAACATTAAGCTAGTCATCCTAATTGTTCCTCCAGCTGAATCTCTTTAACTCCTTCCATTAACCACTTTGAAATTTTCCATGACTTCTAGATACCTTACCATCCTCATTGCCCTCTTTTGCAGCACTCCAGCTTTCTCTTGCTCCACTGAAGTTGTGAAATAGAGTGGAACAAGTTATTTCAGTCAATGATTTGACTTGTGCAGATAGCAAAAGGATGGGTACCTCCTTATTCCAAAGACCATTTTCTTTCTTTAAAGCTAGCTTGTTTGTTTTGTTAATCAACAGCACCACAGAATGTTAGTGGGAACAGCAGAGTAAAGTTCACTAAAACCATTTCTTCCATAAAAGTGATGAGCACACCAGCAAAACTGTCAAAACTGTCATTTTCACAACTCTGGAAATCAACCAAAGGCAAACAACAATCCAAAGAGAAGTTATTCAAGAAAACTGCCCAAGCAGCAGTGAGAAAAGTGGGCTTTGTGGAATGTAACTTGCCCTCTGTTCCTGCACCCTCCTCAGCTCCATGGAAACCTTGAAAACAGCCCCACAATCATGGTGAGAACCAACAGCCTCGCACCACTAAGTCAGCATTTCCATTTCTCTGGTGAGTGCAGCAAATACTCCCAGAGTGTCACTGTGGTTTGAAATGACAAACCTCCTTTTAAGGCTTGGTTCCCCTAATGTGGCAGTGTTGAGAGGTGGGGCCTGGAGGGAGGGATTGGGATCTTGGAAGCATCACTCCATGGATAAGAGCCTTTCTCACAGGACTGGATTAGTTACTCCGAGGGAAGGTTGTTGCAAAGCAAGTTTTCCTCCTGTGTTTTGTCTGTTCCACACATGCCCACTTGCCTTCCATCTTTGTCCCACCATGTTCTAACACAGCATGAGTCCCTTGCCAGATGTGGCCACCCAATCATTAACTTCAGCCTCTGTGAACCTTCAGAACCGTGAACTAAATAAGCTTCTTGTCTTTATAAATTACCTCATCTTATGCATTCTGTTATGGCAACAGAAAATAAACTAAGACAAATGTGATGTATAGAAAGGAATACCTTTGAGTAAAAACTCCTACCGCCTATAGTCATACCTTCAAAAACCCTCCAAGAAAAAATATGAGTATTAAAGTTAAAAAAGTCATCAATTTTAACCAATAAATCTGGCACACAACATAGAAAGGATGTGCTGGAGGAAAGAAGAAACAAATTGACAAAGTGATACATTATTTCTGATTTCCCCGGCTTCCACAGGGAGGTCCTAGCACAGCACCCAACATCGGTGAGGCACAAAGCCAGCACACAGTACCATGTACAACTGGTTGTAAATGATTTGGTTTCAATAGCATATTGTTATTAGCATCTCCATGTGCTAAATAAGATGGAATTTGATGACAATTGTCCAGATAGTTCAACTGAAATTACCTAGTATCAGAAACAGCAGATTCATCACGGTAGTCATTTCACTAGATACAGACGCCATCAAGAAATGACCTTGCAGTTTTCTCCATAATATCATGGAACTAGTTTCCTGATACTGCTGTTCTAGGATTATTATCATACATTTAGAGCCTGGCACAACATAAATTTATTATCTTATAGTCCTAGAGGTCAGAAGTCCCAAATGAATCTTTGGACTACAGTGAAGGTGCCGGCAGGGTTTTTTCCTTCAGAAAGCTCTATAGGACCATCTGTTTCCTTGTCTTCTTTATCTTCCAAAGGTCACCTTCATTCCTTTGTTCATGGACCCTCCCTCCATCTTTAAAGCTAGCAGTGCAACATCTTCAAATCTCTTTCTCTGACTCCCTCTTTCTCTTATAAGGACTTTTATAACTAGATTGAGCACATTCAGATAAGCTGGGATAATTTCCTTGTCAAAGTCCTCAATTTAGTCATGTCTTCAAAGTCCATTTTACCAAGCAAGATAACATATTCCCAGGTTCCAGGGATTAGCATGTGAACATCTTTAGGGATCTCTTATTCTGCCTACCAAAGTCACAGCGAAGCAGTAATAAGCCAATTACCAATTTCTGAGACTGCACAGGGCTTCAGCGAGAATCCAGACACAAGATTATCCAGCACTTTTATACTCGTAGGGGTTCCACTTGTGCTGTGTTTTAATAAGCAGTTGTTCCTGAATGTGAAGAAAAGAGGTTACATTGCTTTCCGTTCTTTAAGGAATATACACCTGTCCAACTATTCAGCATTGAAATAATCTATGCAAATGGAAAATACAAAGACATCAGTACAATAAACCAGATAGTGTATGGGCTGGGCATTATTCCCACTTGGAGGAAAGCTGGAGTCACTCTAGACACTAAATCCTTAATTGCACAAGCATAGTCTACCTGTGGGCCAAGTGGAACTGAATCTCTTCAGGAAAAAAAAAATCTATTAAAACTGACTAAGTAAATAAAATTGTTAGGACTAAATCCTTGTTTGTTTTTTAGTTAGAGATAAAAAAGTTGGAAGCTATGAAGAATACAATTAAACGCCCAAAATAGCATCATAAAGAATAAACTTCCAGTTACTGTGATGATGAAATTTTCTCTTACTAATGAATGCTAACTGAAACATAAAATTATTTTTAAAAAGAACAAACAGCGAATTTTACTCACCGATATCCCACGTTGGGAAATTTTTCCGTAGCATATGTGAAAAATTGACAGTGGATGTTGTTGGTGCACAATTTTTGACATTCTTCAACATTTTGAACCTTAGACATATTAAAATTGGTTCCTCTCATATCAATTCCTTCATAAATATCTCTGTGGCAAGCTGTACAATGAAACACGTAGAGCAACTCGGTCAATTTCTTTTCTAGAGGTAGACCATAACTACCATAAAACCACGGAAGTATGGAAGAATAACATCCCATTTTTGGCTACTGCCCTATTACTCAGGAGATTTTGAATTTTTATTATGTCTGTAAATTATCAAGCTCTGCTTGAAATAAACACGATCCAATATGTTTTCCTACCCCCTAGCATGCCAGCATTAAAAAAAGTATTATTTTGCTTCCTAAACACTGAGGTACATGCAACAATACAGGCAGCATTTCATGTTGAAATTATCAAAGGACTGTGGACAGTAAACAAAGTAATAATAACAAGGATCTTGATAATGAGACTGTGGTTTGCATTATTGAAGAAACTTTGACCTCTTGTACTGAATGAAAAAGCCTCTTGATTTTTCTATTTCTCTTATTTGTCTATCTGAACTAGTCATGTGAATTGCACCTATGAGCCCTGTCCTTGACATCTCTGTCGAATTTTCATAAAATTGTGCAGTTCTTATATATGCATGATGAGAGCATTTGCATTCTTATTTGAGACCTATGTGAAATTCTATTTATACCCTTTTAATTAAAATTTATCTTATAAGAGAAATAATTCTCTTAAAAGACAGTGAACCAAATTAGACTCATTTGGTTGTTAGTTTGGTTGATTTTTGAGACAGGGTCTCACTATGTAGACTAGACTGAACTCAAATTTATGATCCTCCTGCCTCAGCCTCCCAAGTGCTGTGATTATAGATGTGTGCCATTATACAAGGCCCAAATTAAGTTAGTTTATTTATTTATTTATTTATTTAACTCAAATTTCTTAGTTTAGCTTTGGTTAAGGAACCAGTATACCAACAGTATAAATCATAATTTATTGCATGCAATTTTCTACTCCTAATAAGTATGATGTGATAAAACTAATTGTAAGCATGGGAAGACAGAAAATGCACAAGCTCAAAGGAAAACAATCCACTGAGACTGACAGGAGAATCTGTAGATTATAAGCATAAAGTGTCTTTTCAGGGTTGCTATAGATAGGAAAAGAAACAGACCAAGAGTTGGGAAGAGAGATTTGCAAACAAAAACTTTTCTTTATGATTATCTGAAAGATTTAAAGCTACTTTTAAACGTTTTGACTAAATTGATCCTGAGTTTAGAAGTTTCAAATTCTTCCTAGGGATATTTTTTTCATTTTAATTTAAGATATTTGGGGAGAGTTGGAAAACAATTTTAAAATCAAGCTCAGTGAGTAAGACACTAAGAAATAATAATTGGAAATAACACCTAATTGAATAATTTGTACCAAATCACATCAGTATATAAATTTGACCTTTTAAAATAGGAATGATAACTTTATTTTGGATTAACTAGCCTATTATATTAACTACACCAGACCTCCATATTTGTAACTAAGGCATTGCCACCCTTCATTAACTGCCTAAAATTCAAACTGTAACCTCAACTGATTGGGTCGCATTAGTGGGCAAATTTGAAAATACCTGAAAGTTGAACCATCTGTTGTCTTTCATGGTGCTCCCTTCCAAAAGTCCATGGCATTTCAGAATTTGAGCAACATTTATTCTAAGATAAATCCTTTACTAATTCAAATTTAGCTAAGAAATCCACATCTTACCACTTATTTGATGGCCACATTGTTTTAAGGAATGTCCAGAAATTGCATCTACCCGATGCACTCTTGGCAAGGTTCCTGTAACACTGTCTTTCAAGAAGCAGCCAAACCTGTTCTCAAAAGAATATTCATTTAGGATGTAGACTAATCAACATATATCCATAAAGTGTCCAGCATTTCCTACACATTTGTAAATAAAGCCTGGAATAAGGAAAATAGTGTCATTTTCCTGACAAATGGAAAGAACATTCTTAGAGGCTTTCCATAATATCTGGTGGTCTTGGCTCAATCCTGTAATCCTGGCTACTTGGGAGGCAGAGGTTGGGAGGATCATGGCCAGCCCAGGCAGAAACTTCACAAGACTCCATCTCAAACAATGGCTAGGCATGGCAAGATGTGCCCGTCATCTCAACTACTCAGGGAAGCAGTCCAGGCTGGCTGGCTCTTTAATGACTGACTTCAGCATTGGTGTTTTTTTTTTTTTTTTTATAATTTACCTATTTTTCCTTTGTTTAACTTTGGTGTTAGCTTAGGACCCATCACCAAACCCAAGGTCGTGAAGATTTGCTTGTGTATTTTTTCTAAGGATTTCCAGTTTATTACATTTAAATATTCAATTGATTTTTTTTGGCAGTACTAGGGTTTGAACTCAGGGCCTTATATTTCCTAGGCAGGCACTCTACTGTTTGAGCATCTTCTCCATCCCATTTTGTTCTGGTTATTTTAGAGATAGGGTCTCACTTTTTGTCTAGGCTGGCCAGGACAAGGATTTTCCTATTTTATACTTCCCTTGCTGCTAGGAAAACAGGCATGTGCCTCCACATCCAGCTTTTTCCCATTGAAATGGAGTGCCTCTGACTTTTTGCCCAATCTGGCCTCAAACAGTGATCCTCCTGATCTCAGTCTCCCAAATTGCTAGGATTACATGTGTGAGTTTCACTGCATTGTTCCTCTTTATAGTCACAATTGTTAAGTGCAGAGAGTCAGCCATGTTAAAAAGTTATGATTATTCCTGTATTTTTAACTTTCAGTGAATGAATCCCCAACTGTTATGTTTTTAAATAAATGCTTTATATTGAAAAAACTAAAAGTTATGAGAGTTGGGTCTATGTAAGATGTACATCTTGCTTATTAACTCCTTGTAGTCTTCATCTAATGGAAGACTGCTTTCTGTTGTTAATGTCAATCTTAATTTCATTATTTACAAGGAGTCCATAATCCAACTCAACTTTTAATATGAAGATTCTCACCTATAGTCTGGTTTTTTTGTACAGTTCAACATGTAGGATCAGATAATTAGTATCCAGTTTCTAGTTGTTAAACTTAAGTAGAGTGAAACTTAACTGTAGTATGGAAATGGGAACAAAAATTTCATTCTGGACATTGATAACAATGAAATAAAATTAAAATGAAACTATAGCTGTGTGTGCAATCTAATAAGATTTTTAATTATCAACTATATTTTAAATACCCTTTTCTAAACTACCAGTTAATAATACATACTATTGCACATACACGAGCACACACATACACATTCAAATGCACACTGTAAGTGCCCTAATTGGCTCACGATAAGCACCATTAAGCACTATAAGCACTCTCTCTCTCTCTCTCTCTCTCTCTGTATTTAAGACCCCAGTTGTTCTGGGTCTTAATTATATTCTTAACAAAGTTCTTCTTATATGTTTTCTTAAGTCTGTGCTACCCAAAAATGTGGTAATAGGTTAGACAGTCAAGTATATTTCCTTATTCAGGTGAAATGTTCTACTGTTATGAGACCCTTTCTTGAGACAATCTCTTAACCCAATGATTTCAAGCAAATTTTCTTAAGGCCTTTGATAGAAAATGACAGTTTCTACTACTTTAAGTGAACACAGTGATTTTTTAAAATGCAGATTTCCAGGCCCAAGAGTCTTGTTCAGTAGGTCTAGCCTGTGGTCTTATAGTCTACTTTTCTAAGAACCACCCCCATGGGATCCTGGTGAAGCTGTTTCTTAACCTTACTTGAGAAACAGCCCTGAGAGATGTTACAAGTTGTGTGCTTTTTGCATACAGTCAATACTATTTTGAAAAATGTGTAATTTTGTGAATGACAGAATATCACCTTTTACCTTTTCTCTGGCTCCTTGGTTGAACTTGCAGGAAGAAAGCTGAAGAGCAAACACCTGGGGTGGAACGTGCACATTTTCTGACAGTGATGGGCATCTGGGCTGTACATGGCCATGACATCCCCACCTCTGAAGAAGGCATTTTTATATAGTTGAGTCAGACATCCTATAATATAATCATTAAAATTGATTTGGAATGAATGTAAATAATAATTTAATAAAAATATATCTGTGTTTTAAAGTTCTTCCTTCTCCCACTGACTACCCAAAGATCTTTACATGACTTTAATTATAGAAACAGAATAAAACATACTAAGGCAATTATTTGAAGACTATATAATGCTCTTCAGAGTCATTTAGGGTACCTCTGTACAAAAATTGGGTTGATTTTTATTAAACTATACAATAATTTGCACATGAATTATCCTCAATAAAATGCATTCTTAACTTGGTTTCTTCCTGGTACCTGACACGCTATGAAAACATCATGTCTTAAAAATAATAATGTTTAACCTGATTTCAAAACACTTTGAGAACAAACATCTCCCCACATTCTCACACTCTGTAAGGGAAGTTTGAGGCTAACTTTGTTATCTGCATCTGACATTTTTGCATGTGAAAAAAGCCATGTAACCAAGTCTCCAGGTGTTCAGAGATCCACACACTTAATATGTTCCCTGGGATATAAATTCAATCATTCTGATTCCCAACCTTGTCACCTTTTCTAGCATGAAATGTTGAACGTTGCTCCCTATCTCAGTTCAAGTCAAGCAAACTAACAAGTACTGAGTGCTTATTTTTTATATCACATTTCTTAGATAGCTTAAGCAAATGCATGCATGTGCTAAATTGAAAATAAATTCTAAACTATCTCCTGTTTGGGATTAATCACAGCTTTAAAATATTTTGTACCCTACATATTATTAGAGAATTATAATTCCTGGCTCTAATATATGAATCTGAAGACACAGTTCAAGGTCTGCTTAATAAGCTTTCCAGCTCAGGGAGCACTTGCATTTTAGTTAGCCAATTGTTCATTAACCACATGATATTCCAGTGACAAAGTTGTCCATCTCCTAGAGTGTGGTAGTCACTCTTCAACTTAAATAAGATCTACTTTTGTGTTTCTTTTCAGGGAATAGGCAGCTTGTGTGACATGTGTTTCATTAAGTACTGAAGGTTTAACATTGTCTATGTACTGCTCTATCCCTCTCGGGATCCTGGCCCTGAGCTCTGTTTTGATGACCCAAACCAACCAGATTGCTTCTCTTTCTCTCAGAGGTATAGCTAAGAGGCCTACCTCTCCTCCTGGGTAAAAGTTTATATTTGGAAAGAGCACAGATCTCTGCAGGTGGAAGCTTCTGGGAATACAAGTTTCCAAGTGTATATACCTGGATTTTGTAAACATACAACACACAGAGTTGTTGGCCCAGTGGTAATGCTAGCTATAGTGGGACTTGAGTTTTAGACAATCAGTGTTTTTGGTTGCTTCATAATTATCAACCAGTTACACCGCCCCATCTCAAAGTACAGATCAAAGTACGAACTACAACCAGTGCTAGCCTGGGAGTTCCTATACTGCAGTGAGTCTTTCTGAAAGTACCATGTGATTTAGATGATAGAAAAGGGTGACTAGAAGTGCCTCAACTACAGAGATCAATGGAAAGAGGGATCTAGTAGGTTCGTGCTTATCCTCATAAGTTGGTAATGATGACTACAATGATTGTTATGATGAGGACAATGACAATGGTAGCTTTGTTTAGAATATTTGTAACCGTTATCTCAGAATTATCATGGTTTCCACAGTTCTCACATGATCCCTATGTGCATGGACACTGATCAAGTTATTCTGTCTTATTAAAAACTACATGATCTATAAGGAGAAGAAAAAAACTGTAACTTGAAAAATAATTAGCTGACAGATATGAAAAGATAATTTACCAAAGAAATACAAGTGACCAATAAGTCTTCAAAAAACAATAAGAATTATAAATTCAAGCAAGTTAAAACAACTAGATGTCATTTTACCCATAAGATTAGTAAAAATCAAAAGTTATATAGCCAGTGTTCTTATGCTGAGTTTTTGCAAATGATAGAAAATCTAGTTCAAAGTTGCTTGAGTATGGCAAATCTGACTTCAGGAGTACCTGGACATTTATGCAAAAGAGATAGCATCAGTGTGCAATTTATCTGCATTGATTTGCTCTGTTCCATGGTGCTGTCTTTGGTCTCAAGCTCCACATACTAGAAAGATAGTACCAACAGCTCAGGTCTATGCATTCTCTTATATTTCAAGTCAAATTGGGGAAAAAAATGAAGAGTCTTATTCTGGATATATAAGCAAAAGTCTGTTGCAAGACTAGCTCTAATTGGAATGTATGCATTCCCCATTTCCAGTGGAATGTATGCATTTCCTGGTTCCCCTATGGTGATGTCACAAGCTCCAGCCCTAGACTCAGCAGCAGAAACGACATCATCAGAACCACATGGACCAAAATTGACAGGCAGCAGTTCTTCAGAAATTAATTTGGACACTGTTTCCAAAGTGGATATATATCAGGTGGATATATATCAGGCCACAAAGCAGCAGATGTCAATTAGTGCTGGTCTAAATAGGACAACTAAGCATTTTAATATGTTTCTGAAAAAAAAATCAACCTTCTGGAAGACAATTTCATAAGACATGTCATAAAAAGCTTAAAAATATTCATACCATTAATATCTCATATTTCAATTTCCAATAATTTAATCTACTGAAATTAATTATATATGAGCTTAAGAATTTGCATATAAAATACCAGGAAAAGGAAAAGATACCATGAATATGGTATATATTTATTTGCATTAAAGATAGCTGCAAATAGCAAAGATAAGTTAAAGAGTGTCTATCACTAATAACTCTTTTGCAAAAGTGTATAAATAGATACATATAGGAAAATATCTGAAAGATTAAGCGAGATTTTACTAGTGCTTCTTTCTGCACTTTTGGAACTGCATGCATTTTCTGTGCATTTACACCTCGAGTTTCCTATCATGATCACGTAGCCATGAACCACGGCATCTCTGGCCGTGCTCCTCAGCACTCAGTTGGTCTGTACATAGCAATGATTAGGGTGCAGAAGAGCAGTTAGGGCTGGGGAACCAGACAGAGGGGAGTTGTGATTTGAGCAGGGTGGAGAAAATTGCTTTTTCCTAAGAAACTGCTTCCTTTAAAATTGCAAACCTTACCCACTATGTCTATCTTTGTCATACATCTGAGAGGCAAGTAAACAATCATTGTGGTATGGTTATCTCTTAAAGCACCCTAAAATCAGGCTCCACCCCAGGGGCACCCCAGAAGAAATCTCACTCTGTGATTAATGAAAAACAGTGCCCAGAATCATTCTTATTCTCTGAAAATTATGGAATTTTGGAATAAATAGAGAAATAAGTAAGACTGAAATCTGTCATTGAAACTATTTACTTAAACTATTAAAGGGATGGTATACTAGGTTAAATTTAAACCAGGTACCTTCCTTTCTGAAATAATTCCCTGGTGGCCTGGAATAAAAATATCCATGTACCTATCAGATACTTAGATTGCATCCAGACACCATAAAACGCCTAGTCCACTTTTAAATTTTTAGGTAAAGTGGTTTTTTTTTAATGTTGATAATAAAATAGAGATGATTGCTTGCTTTAGGAACTGCTTTATAGAGTCATCTCCAAACAGAAGTTTGTGGACACATGCCCTAAGAGGTCTTCATTTCTGGGCTCCTTCCCTGGCCAATTATGTGTTTAATGTAATGAACCTGGGAAGTAGTTCTTACCTCCTTACATTAAAATGATATCTAAATTATTGGGACTTCCTCCTCCCCACAAAGTTGTATGTCGCATTTTCAAGGTGGAGTCATTTGCGTTCTCCAGGGTGACATCTTTGGCCTAACTATTCCTTTCTCACATACCACTAACTTTAACTCTTACAGATAATATACTTACCACAGGAAACTGTGGCAAATAAGCAAATCAAATAAACAACTTGACTGAACAAAAACATCCTAAAAAGAAGCACACATACATTAACTCTGTTAGTTTTAGAAAATAATTAAAATATATTTAACACAGGCTTTAATTTAATGTAGATACAGATTTTCTTATAATATCTGAATTGTAAATCAAAGCACACCATTACCAGTATGGAGAATGGGAGGGGGTTGTACATTTTGTGTCTAGAAACGTGGAAATTTTATAATACTTCCTAAGCACAGATTGAGATATTTAGACTACTATTGTGTTTGTGGTTAATTTATCAGCTCTGTTATTATTAATTTTGTAAAAGAAATTAATAGAGAAACATGAAACAGTTACAAAGCCTCTTGATTTAAGCAAAAAAATTGGAAATAGTGGCAATAATAACAATCTAAAACCACCATGTAAATAAAATCTCTAAAGATATTCAAGACCATTTAAAAATTTTAAACTAGTCAAATCAGGTTTGATTTTTAAATATTTTGCATTTAAATATTTACATATGTAAGACTGTCAATTCCTTCTAGACTCTCTAAATACTCAGGAAATTAAAAAAACTAACAGATTCTTCATAAAGAAAAATTATACTTTAAAAACAAAACTCTGTATTGGAAGCGATCAGAGTAATGAAATTTGCTACCTGAAAGCACAATTGCTTCTGTGGTTCTGGAGGTGAGGAAGTCTCTCGCTACTTAAAAATGAAGAGTTTTCAAACTGTCCTAATATGGCACTGCAGGCAGTATTTGCTTGGCTTCAATATTAACTTTGGATTTGGGCCAACAGTTTCAACTTTCTGTCCCATCAATATCTTCCATGACCATCCCATTCCTGTGTTCCACTATTAATATGTTAACTATTTCAGGGAGTTATAGAAATGTGATGAAGGAATAGGAGCACTTTTTCTTTGGCAGAACCATCAATTTGAACAACTTTTCATGCTCCAAAATACTTTCCAAGAACTAAGGAACCCAGGTGAGACATTATAGCACTTGGTAGGAGCATAGAAAGAAGAAAAGACACATTGAAGATTATAGAAAGGACAATTTCACATTCACCACATCACCCTGCTCCCAAGTCTAGGTAACATAGCATAGAGATACCCTCCGCATGAAGGAAGGAAAGTGATGTGAACACACAACTTTGCCAAAGTTTCCAGCACTAAGTCCATCCCAGTAACCCAAACAATAGGCCAACTGCTTCAGCCCCAGGCTGTAGGCTAATATCCTAATATCTGTAAGCCCAGCTGCCAGGCCAACTGCAGTGACCCCAGTACCAGGATGGCTTCTGTGAACTCAGGACACCAAACCCCATGAACCCAGGAATGAGATCATCCCTTGTCATTCTGGCCACTGAAAACTCAGGCTCAAGGCTCATTCCAGTGTTAGGTCATCCCTTAAGGACCCAGGCTTCAAGCTGGTCCTCACAGAAGGTCCTGGTAGTGCCACTGAACCCAGGCTCCAGGAATACCCCTATGAACAACTGCCAGATTCACTCCAGGGGGCCCTGGTGCCAGGATAGTCTATATGGACCCAAGATTCAGACCCATTTATGCACACCCAAGCACCAGGCCAGCCTGTCTGAGGACTCTAGCAGCAAGCCTGCCCATGAACCCCAACAGGTGACTCACCCAGAATCTATGGGTGGGCTAACTGATTAATGGCTTTCCCTGCTGAAGCCAGTCTATAAAGTCTAAAATAGGTGCTGGCTTCTTAAAATGGGCAGACAAAGGCACGGGATCATAAGTAAATCAGGAATAAAATAAAGCCACCAATGACTGACTCAAAAGACATGGAGGTCTTCAAATTGCCTAAAAATTCAAAATTAAAAAAGCTCAATGAGCTGAATACAGGGAGATGACTAAATGAAATTGGGAAAACAATATACAAATAAAATAGGCAGTTCAACAAGGAATCAACAGAGGTAAGCCATTTGAAATTATTCAAACAAACAAAACAAAAAAAGAATTAAAAAGAATGAAGAAAAGCCTAAAAGACATAAGACTACATCACCAAAATACATATGCATTCTTAGAGTCCCAGAAGGAGTAAAGAGAGGGATAAGATATATAACAACAGAAAACTTCCTGAATGTGGAGAAATGAACATCCAGATTCAAGAAACGAAAATAGATCAAATATAAAGAATTTCTCACCAAGATATAATCAATTTCTCAGAAGTCAAAAACAAAGAGACGATTTTGAGAACAGGGAGAGAAAAACAAGAAAAAACTTGTCATATACAAGGGAGCCTTCATAAGACTATTAGTGGAATTTTTAGCAGAAATCTTACAAGACAGGAGAAGGTAGCATGACATAAAGAAAGTACAGATGATCACCTACTTATATCAGTTTGACTTATGATTTTTCAACTTTACAATGATGCAAAAATGATACACAGTCAGTAAGAATCAAATTTTGAATTTTGATCTTTTTCCAAGCTAGCAATTTGGGACAGAATATGATGCTGGGCAGCTGCTACTCCATCAGTCACATGATCACAAGGGCAAACAATGAGTGCTATATAATGTATTGTGTTGTCAAGTAATGATCATGGTAGTGAGGTATATTGCATGCATTTTTGACTTATGATACTTTCAACTTTTGATAGACTTATTGTGATAGCATCCCATTTTAAGTTGGAGAGCATCTGTACTAAAAGAAAAAAAAAATCTGTCAATCAAAAATACTATACCCAGCAAGGAAGGAAGCATAACAGAGAAATAAAGACTTTTACAGACAGCTAAGCATGGTGGCTTAAGTCATAATTATGGATACTTATAAGGCAGAGATCTATCTTGAGGATTGTGGTTCCATGTCAATCCAAGTCAAAAATTCACAAGACCCCATCTCAACAAATGGCTGGGTATGGTGATGTGTGCCTGTCATCCCAGATATGCAGGGCAGCACAAATAGGAGCATCATGGCTTAGGATGGCACCTGGTATAAAGGAAAACCCTATATCAAAAATAATAACCAACATGAAAAGGGCTGCCTGTCTAGCAAGAACAAGACCTAGAGTTCAACCTCCAATATTGCCACTCCCCCCCCCAAAATAAAGACTTTTCCAGATAAACAAAAGCTTTGGGAGTTTATCACCATTATCTTATCTTACAAACTGCTCTTACAAAAAGAGTTCATATGGTGAAACATTAGGACACTAAGACAATGAAAACATAAAAAGTAAAAGTTGTGGTAAAAGGAAGAATATTTCAGAATACTGCAATACTGTAAAGATTGGGTAAAATTACTTTGAACTCTAGTATAAAAGTTAAAAGACAAAAGCATTAAACATAAATATATCTATAATAATTGGTCAGTGGGTATGTAGTACACAAATGACATAAATTATGACATGAATAATACAAAATGCGGGGGAAAGAAAAGTTAAATTGTAGAGCTTATGTGTGCAGCAGAAGTTGTTACCAGCTTAACATAGAAGGTTACAATTATAAGATATTTTATGGAAGCCTCATAATATCCACAAAGAAAGAAATTATAATAGGTACACAAAAGATAAAGAGAAAGGAATGAAAGCATATCACTACAAAAAGAAATGATCAAATCATGAAGGATGACAGCAAGAGGATTAAGAAACAAAGGAACTACAAAACAGAAAACAATGAAATGGTAGTCCTAAATTGCTACCTATCATTAAATGTAAATAGATCAAATTATCCAATCAAATGACACAGAGTGGCACCACCTTACTCTGTCCCATGCGAGATGTGAATCATCCTTTTGTCCAGCCTGTCCATGGTGAATGCACTTTTAGTCACTAATTAGCCATCTCAGTTATCAGAAGATTTGTCATGGTATCACAGTGTTTAGGTTGTATGGAGTTCAGTACTATCTGAGATTTCAAACACCCACTGAGGCTCTTAGACTATATCCTCTGTGGAAAGGAGGATTACTGTAAATAATGATAAAATAGTCAATTCATCAAGAGGATATATAAATTGTAAATACCTATACACCCCAAAAAAGAATATGTAAACATATAGAGTAACTACTAACAGAACTGAAGTGAAAAATAGATAGCAACACACTTTCAACAATGCATGGATCATTGCAACACACAATCAATAAGGAAACAAAAGATTTTAATAACACTGTATGCTAATACAGATTAGAACGTTTACCTGCATATGCAGAATATCTCTTCTAACAACCCCAGAATGCACATTCTTTTCAAGCATGCGTGGAACATTACATTATATATAGTGAGAAGACTGCCAATAATAATTCCTATGAACTCAAACACCCTGAAATTTAAATCACTTTGATAGACTTGGGAGCCTTGGCTTGTGAATAATAACCTTTCTCAAAAAGTCCTTTTCAGCAACTCAGTCTTGGTGCATCGTTCAATCTTCATGCTAAATCATTTGACTTTCACTTCCTGAAAGTGATTGGAAGGGCAGTTTTGGAAATGTCCTTCCAGCAAGACACAAGGCAGAAGAAGCATTCTATGCAGTCAAAGCTTTATTGACAAAAATGATCCTGAATGAAGAAGCAGCATGTTATGTTAGAACTGAGTGTTCTATTGAAGAGTGTGAAACACCCTTTCCTGGTGAGCCTTCACTTCTCTTCCAGACTGTCAACAAACTGGACTTAGTCCTAGACTACATTAAGGTATTACAGTCTCCAGAAGGAAAGTTGTCTTCTAGAACCACAAGCTCAGTTTCTATGCTGCTAGTCTGTGCTCTCTACATATTACTTCTAGAGAAGTGCATTTTGCTACTTCAGAGGGACACAGTGTCCATTCTGATGCTGGACTCTGCAAGGAAAACACTGAACACAATAGCCCAACCTCCACCTTTTGTGCCATACCTGAAGATTTCACACCTGAGGCGCTTCATAGCAGCCTTAAGGTAGAATGGTGGACACAGGGGTCAGAGGTTGGGGAAAGCTTTAGAGCCTCCTGTGTAAAATACTGTATGGCCTTCCTCTTTTTTACAGCTGAAACACAGCTGAAATGTACAACAACATTCTGAACAAGTCCCTCAGGTTGAGACCAAATATTACAAATTCTGTAAGACACA